AAATGGTCTGCTTAGCTATAGCATTTCGTAATAAAATGGTCTGCTTAGAAATGGTCTGCTTAGCTATAGCCGTCTTCATAAAAATGGTCTGCTTAGAAATGGTCTGCTTAGCTATAGCATTTCGTAATAAAATGGTCTGCTTAGAAATGGTCTGCTTAGCTATAGACTTTCGTAATTAAATGGTCTGCTTAGAAATGGTCTGCTTAGCTATAGCCGTCTTCATAAAAATGGTCTGCTTAGAAATGGTCTGCTTAGCTATAGCATTTCGTAATGAAATGGTCTGCTTAGAAATGGTCTGCTTAGCTATAGCAATTTCGTAATAAAATGGTCTGCTTAGAAATGGTCTGCTTAGCTATAGCCGTCTTCATAAAAATGGTCTGCTTAGAAATGGTCTGCTTAGCTATAGCCTTTCGTAATAAAATGGTCTGCTTAGAAATGGTCTGCTTAGCTATAGCCGTCTTCATAAAAATGGTCTGCTTAGAAATGGTCTGCTTAGCTATAGCATTTCGTAATAAAATGGTCTGCTTAGAAATGGTCTGCTTAGCTATAGCCGTCTTCATAAAAATGGTCTGCTTAGAAATGGTCTGCTTAGCTATAGCCTTTCGTAAAAAAATGGTATTCATAAAAATGGTCTGCTTAGCTATAGCCTTTCGTAAAAAAATGGTATTCATAAAAATGGTCTGCTTAGCTATAGCCTTTCGTAAAAAAATGGTCTGCTTAGAAATGATCTGCTTAGCTATAGCCGTCTTCATAAAAATGGTCTGCTTAGAAATGGTCTGCTTAGCTATAGCCTTTCGTAATAAAATGGTCTGCTTAAAATGGTCTGCTTAGCTATAGCCTTTCGTAAAAAAATGGTCTGCTTAGAAATGGTCTGCTTAGCTATAGCCGTTTTCATAAAAATGGTCTGCTTAGAAATGGTCTGCTTAGCTTTATCCTTTCGTAATAAAATGGTATTCATAAAAATGGTCTGCTTAGCTATAGCCTTTCGTAATAAAATGGTCTGCTTAAAATGGTCTGCTTAGCTATAGCCGTCTTCATAAAAATGGTCTGCTTAGAAATGGTCTGCTTAGCTTTATCCTTTCGTAATAAAATGGTATTCATAAAAATGGTCTGCTTAGCTATAGCCTTTCGTAATAAAATGGTCTGCTTAGAAATGGTCTGCTTAGCTTTATCCTTTCGTAATAAAATGGTATTCATAAAAATGGTCTGCTTAGCTATAGACTTTCGTAATAAAATGGTCTGCTTAGCTATAGCCTTTCGTAATAAAATGGTATTCATAAAAATGGTCTGCTTAGCTATAGCCGTCTTCATAAAAATGGTCTGCTTAGAAATGGTCTGCTTAGCTATAGCCTTTCGTAATAAAATGGTCTGCTTAGAAATGGTCTGCTCAGCTATAGCGTTTCGTAATAAAATGGTGTGCTTAAAAATGTTCTGCTTAGCAATAGCCATCTTGATTAAAATGGTCTATATCCTGTTTAAAAAATATTTTCTGGTTTTCATGATTTTCTCTTCGTTGTTCAGAGATGTGCTCATTTTGTTAATCGTTAAGATGTAAATTTTGGTAATAATTAATATAAAATGGAACACCAAATGTTCTCAGATGTAGCTAACGCTAATTTTATTAATTAAACAAGTATTTTTTTAACGAGTGCAGCGCTAAAGGGAAAGTCAAGAAGCAGTGGAAAAAAACAATGCATGGAGTGAACTTGTAGCAACAACGCTCGGATGATAACTGCAGGGTCGTCGCCACAGACGGTTAAGATTTAACAACAAAAATTTTCAATTTTAATAATGCCAATGCTCTTTAACTGTCTTTTTTCTTTTTTCTCAGTTAACTGTCAATAATCTGACGTTTTCCTAATGTTTTATTTTAAGCAATACATTTAAAATGCACTTTTAACGTTTTTCTTTCTAAATTTTTGAATTTTTGGCGCAAATAGAACTAAGGCATCAACAGCGTATTTTTTTGTTCAGATATAATTTTTCTCTATATTTCTATTTAATTATGTTTTTTTATTTTTTAAAAAGTACAACATTACAGAATATCAGATTAGTTTTTTTTGCCAGAGTTCTACATATATTACTACGGATACATCTCTTATTACGATGTGATTGAATATTTAACAGAAAACAATTAGGATTATGCAAAGTATTTTTTATGCAGTGAGTTGTTGAAGAATGATCAATCGTTGTTTTCAAATGTGCACGTCTTTCATTCACTTTTTGTTAAACTATAGAAATTGTCTACTAATTTTATTTTCACATTGTTTTAATTTTTATACGAAGCTGATACAAAAACACTATGAAAATATTGAATTCATTTAAATGTATTTTGACGAAAATTTGACGTCGTATTATTTTTTGAAATAAATCAATTTTATATATATATAACTTTTTTCATAAAAAAATTGTTTTTATTATGTGCGGACGGTTTTGTACTCTGTCCTGTTGGAACTTTTCTAAATTCTCACGAATTTTTGTTCTAATTACCTTTTCTCTCTTTTTTCCCTCTATAAAAGACACATCGAGCGGTAGTTAAAAAAACCGAGGAAACTTATCGTTTTTGGAACCATGGGTCAGACGTCTATTACACTATGGCCACCGATAACGACGCATCGTTGATCTCTAGGTGCTTGAGGTTCAACGAAACGTTTTGATTAACATAAATTTATGATTGCAGGCCTCTCGAGCAGCTCTTTCAGCGCTGCGATAAAGCAGGCGAAAATTCGATTGAATTCGAAATGCTGATTTTCAGCGTTCTTTGTTTGAGAGATCAGCTCCTTCTCGAATCTGGAAGTGATTTTGGTACTAAAGTAACCTTAATTCTGTAAGGCTTTTCTCTCTTGAAATCAACACCAAAAATAATGAATTAATCTGCAGATAGAGAATGACACATTTTTTGGATGTACGGTCTCGGATCTAACAGATCTCGTAAAGCTGAAACACAGTAAGCAGGAGGCTAGGGATTCAGAATTTGAGACTATCGCAAATACTAGTTTAAAAATATTTGATTGAAATAAATTGTTATTTGTGCCACTTCGATTTTTGGAGTCATTTTTAAAATTTTGCAAAAAAAACTCTTGACTACTGGAATAAAGATAAATGAATAACTGACTGCTAAGGAATATTCGCACGATAATTTCATTTTGGTTTATCGGCAGGAAGATATATTTTTGAAAAAAAAAATTGGGCTGCATTCCAAATTTAACAGCTGATTATATTTGCGTCCTTATATTTCTGTCGTTGCTTGCTGGTAACTTTTCGATTTGCAATTAAACATTTAAATGGAAAGAACTTGATTAAGTCTGAACCAAAAAAGATTATTTATGTCGAAAGGCCTGTTTTTTTAATAAATTAAATATCGACTCACTTTTATTCACATTCACCGAACTTGTTTATTTAACATTGATTACCGAGAACAATTATAACAAAAGCAAAAAAGCGATTCGTCGAATCCGTTAAAAAAAATAGAATCATAAATGTAGAAATAATAGAACAAACCAAAATTGAATTGATCAAAGTCAACCATTTATTCTTGGAATTATTTTTCAAGCTTTTTAGTAGTTTGTTGGTGCTTACGGTGACATGATCCTCAAAATTAGCTGACGAACCTATACTAAAATGATTCTTTTTAGATACTTTGTGAGCTATAACATATACATACTTGAAATATATTTTGCAAAAGGGGTATTTATACATTTATTTGCCACAAGTGTCAGATGACTTTTCAAAAAAATGCCTAAATTTTTGTTCTTTTTCTCAAAATCCGGACCAAAATCCAAGAAGGAGCTGATCACTCATTTGTAATCGCTGAATATTATCAGAAGTACGACGATCTTTCGCCGGTTTGTTCGCAGCTGCCGATGTCGTCCAGCCTGCAATCACGATTTGATGCCAACGAAGACCCAAATTTCATGTTAATTTTGTGACAGTAAAAATTTTCATCACCTCTACAGATGTTATTTTCAATGCACAAATTCTTATGCCACTTTAATGTTCTTTTTGTGATTCCCACTAAATATTTGACCAGACTGGCCCTTTTTTTGAAAATTTTCGAAATTGAAACGCCAATTTGCAAAAGCGAAAGAGCCACGAGTTTCCAATCAATGCATTTTATTTGAGGTCAAAATACAAGGGATTTTTTTGTGATTATGAGGCTTAAAAATAATTTCTTACATCGAGTGTCCCATTAGTTTTGATCATATCAAAACCTGTTTCAATATCTCGTTTCGGTGAAAGCCGCCGCCGAACTTCTGTTTCTGATGCTTTTGACAATCGGTCTGGAAAAAATTAAAATATATTACAATCGTAACAAAACTGCGTCTCCGTCTTTATTGTGTTGCTCTTTTTTTATTTATTATAAAATAATAGATTTAAGCGACAAACTAACTATCTCTATATAAGATGAAAATTAATGGTAATATTATTTTTTTACTAGAGAATTTAAAATTGCGTTCAAATATTTTTAATGGATTTAGACAAAACTGAAAAGCATTTTTTTGCAGAAAGTATCGAAATGGTTCCAACAATTAAACTCTTGTTTTTAGTGATTTTTTTGCTTTTTCAGACGATTTGAAATTAAAGAATGAAAACTTACTTTTATTTTTTGGGCTTAAAGCGGGGCATCGCCAACGTGACGAAATATAATAATGATTCGTTTTGTTGCGATGCCAGTTAGTTGACGGGGGTCACGCGAAATAAGCGGCATTTTAAGAGAGACGAATAAGAAGCAAAGACTTGTTCAAAAAAAGGCTTGCTGTTCAAAAAATGAAAAAAAAAACGAAGGCCTTGTATAACAATTGTTCATGATTTTTCTCTCAACAAATAAGCTACTAGAAAACACAAAAACCAAAATCGGGTTGAAAAATTCAACTTGACCACTGGAATACTGACAGAAAGCGAAAATATAAAATTGACTCTTGACACAAATAAAGAAAGCCATGGGAATAATCAAAACAAGCGAATTAAACCTAACATAGAAAACTGAACAAAGCATGACCCTAGATTGAGGATTCGAATTTCGCTTTCATTTTGTCAAACATTTCTACAAGAGTATTAAGTGGTAGCTGTTGAAGAACTTTGAATTTCCTAATTCCCATTCTAAAAAATAATTTATGATTAATAGTTGTTGACTATGATCTTACTCTTTGGCACAGTATACACAAACGTTGTCCTCGCTGTTGGACTTCTTTCGAACAAATGCCAAATTGAAGGACTCTCTTTTGCACTCTTTTATTATGCAATTGTTGCTCCAGCAATTCTTTTTTCTCTTGTCTTTATCTACTTTCACACCTTGGGAAATCACATAATCAAGAGTCATCTTTAGAAACGCTAACGATCTGAAAAAAATTAAATTTAAAAAAAAGTTTGAATTAAAATTGCGTACCTAATTAGCACGGCGCGAATTTCTTCAAATATTTCCTTATTCGGAAACTGTAATTTGGCGGCAAACTCCCATGCCAACGACTGCATCGGTATAAGCGACTCGAATTTCTATAAATGAATTTTAATTATCAGAAGCAGACTTTAACTATAATACCGCCAGTTTGTTGTACTCATAGCTTATGAGTGCAGTTCGGATTTGAAAAAGATTGATGGGTCCGATATTCCAGCTGATGTTATTACACCAGCCAGTAGCTTGAACCCAATGGATACATCCGCCATTGAGATATACAAGATCACCAGCTTTTTGCGAGAAACGATAAATAGGAATGTTCGCTTTCTCAAGATCTTCCAAAACTGGCCAAAATGGATCTATTCGGAAGTTGATCTTTTTTCTAAATCGCCATTTTACCGGTCAATCAATAAATTTAAGCTCTTACCTTCTGCAAAAATCTTCAATTTTTCCCCAATACTTATAGGGGCAAGCAAGCCACTCGCAATCGCCCGGCCCCATATTAATATTGATTGATCCGAAATTATTATTTTCCTGGTGGGCCGACGTTCGCGCCCCAGGGACTTTCATATAAAGTTGAACACCATTCATGCCCGGAACCGTGCGCCGCAGATAACTCAGGCAACTTTTCGCTGAGTTCCAAAGAAGGAAATCGGGAAGCTTTTTGAGTTCTTCAAACTGTATTTCCCACTTTTTGGTGTCTAACAAATCGACGTTCGTTCCAAAAACGATCATTCCTGTGGAAGTAATAAATTCTTCTTTTTTATCCAATTCGGCTTCCTCTACAGCTTGTTCTTCAACTTCCGATTCCACTAAACTAGGTTTATTGTCTGATATTCAAAGGGATTTCACTTACGTCTGATTTTTTTCGAGCCATCTGCTGTAGTGTTGGCACTTCTCACAAACCTACTTTCGTATTTCGAAAGATATTCATATTCATCTGCAAAAAGACACCATTTCAATAGAATTCGAAACCATTTTCTCACCGTCGATTGCATTTTTCAAGCTTTCTTCTTTATGTGCAACATACTGTTGCAATGTCAATTTAGTTGAATTTTCCCAACTGTTATAACGCCATGTCACGTGTCCATCGTCACCATAATTCAGATGCGCCGGCATTCGATGTTGCTCTCGAAATAAATACGTCTGCTTACTTCCACGGTCTTCGAACATTTCCGATTTAAAATTTTCCATGTTAATTTCGAGGCTCTCCATGAGCCCACGCACCATAACGATATCATTCAATTGGCACATCCTATATTTGTAAAAATCATTACAATATCGATTTTCAGAGTTGAATTCTTACTGTTCTAGCTGAATCGAATGGGCGTCCTTTGAATTTTTACAAACAAACAGAGGCGTCGGAATCTTTAAGTGATCACTTGAAACCTCTTCAACAGTTTTCGGAACAGTGAACGGGTACATGTTTTCCTCGAAGATTTCATTCTCGCTTCTTGTGAGACATCGCTTTTCAGCCAATTTCAATATGCTTTCACCGTCAATTTCGAGTGGCACTTTTAACGGAGCCAAAATATTGCAGTTAATTGGGAAATCAGTGGGATCATGGTTTCCTTAAAATATAAATATAGTGCAAAAATATGTATATAGCTTACTTTTGTGAAGGATTTTAACGGCTGGTGTCATCTCTTGAATAGCTTTTTTGAAATCTAGCTCAGTTTTCGCCGGAATGTCTTCAATGTTAATCTTCTTCAAGTTGTCGGTTTTCAAATTCTGAAAATAATTTTAATAAAGAGATTGCGTTTTGAAATGTTACCGATTTCAAACACTTGTTGACATCTATCTTCTTAATAATTTCCTGCACCTTTGGATCTTCCATGTGTTTCGTTCCAATGACAGCTTTGATAAGTTCAACTTGGTTCACGTTATATGACATTTTTCAGTAATTCGATGTACTTTTTCTGAGAAAAATCAAATAAAGTAGCAACGGACACTCAAACGCTTGAAATTAGCTTTAAACCACCGATAGTAAGGTTTTAACAAATAATCATTTGATCAAATTATTTTTATTTCCATTACTCACAGGTACTCCATTTCTTTAACAATCATATCGCTGCGTTAAATTAGTTCAAGTAATAGAAGGAGAAGCCGAGGTATTTCAAGGTATTTTTTGTATTTCAAAGTTGTTATTTTCTTCCAAGGTTGTATCGTTTTTTGTAAATTTTCGAGGCAATTTTTCAATGCAAACTCAATACGTGAAAACGATTTATTATTGCTTGAAAACTCAAAATATGATAAATGTATTTTTTTTTAATTTTTCGTTTTCAATTTATAAAATTGACTAAAACCTAGCATCACCCTAATAATAGCGTAATTTTTGCTATGGGACATCTTTGCTAATTGAATGTGTGATCGTACGCATTCTCATCGTCCGATTGGGGCTCTCAGCAATATAAGGGTATTTTCGCACCTCTAATTGTTCTTTGATTGATTGATTTTAGAAGTTGGTGTGAAAAATGCTCTTATATTTATAACATTGATTAATTACTCAGTAGTGGGAGTTAAAATCAAATAAATTTTTTAAGGGAGCTGTTATATCATATTTATTGAGTACGAATTTAGAGTTTCTAATGTTCAAATCTGAAGTTACTAGACTAAAGTAAACCAATCTGCATTTTTTTTACAATCATCTTATTAGAGAATTTATTATGGTATATTGTCTAATTTGATGTACCAAAAATATGAGAGGAATAATGTATAAGGATTTTGTAGAATTGAAGAGAAGTATGCATTAGAAGGACATGTCACAACGTTCTAGAAATATGAATGTGGTTTTGAGAAAAATCAAAATTATATTGATATGGGGGGGGGTATTATAACCTACTTGTAGGTAGACCGGAACCTAGGAAACATGAACAGATCTCAAAATAGGTAGGCAATTAGCGTTATGGTGAGAAGAGAAACCGGACGAGGTGGGATAATAAGAAACGAATGGCACCGCAAGGTGGAGGGCAAGGCAGACGACACCAACTCCTCGCTTTGACCCACCTCCAATGTGACACCATCTGGGGATTTTTAACCACGAATGTTTGTTATGTGCAATTATACACCAAACGTTGGTGCCGATGATAGTAATTAACTATCTTATGGTAAACCACCAGATACGATATAGATAAAATATATGATGTCATAATTGAAATTGCGTGAAAACTTACTTATCTGCTTTGTAGAATGACACGTAAAAAAAAAGAAAATCGAGAATAAATACGTTTCCTTTTCGATAATTCCTTATTTCGGGTTTCGTTTCGTTTGTTCTGAGTTTATATGTTGTCGGCCTTTCCCAAAGGCGGCATGTCTGTTCCCACATTTGTCTGCTCTATAATATAACTGCTCCATGAACAGTGTTCTTATGCCATCATAATAATATACCAAAGACAATGCCGATCGCTCTTTTTGAACCCACTTTTGAGTTGTTACCGCCCGTTAAGTTTAATTGATCTTTGAGATTTTTTTAAAGACAAAAAATGCGGCTACCAGAATTTTTACTGCAACATGAAGTTCAAGATTGTTTTTCACTTTTTGTTTTCGAAGGATCTTAAGTAATTTTCAAAAAAAAAATTATAACCAGTCATTTTGCAACGGACGCTCGCTACTGCTTGCTCCCATATGCGTCGCATTTGTATAAAAAGCGTACGTGCGGCCGTCACCCAACGACACCAATAACAATTGTCGGCAATTGGCCACGCCACGCAAGACGATGCAAACCGCTCCCTCTTTCACGTATGACGCTAATTTTCGGTAATTTCTTTTGAAATGTGGAAGATTTTTTAGTAATCCCTATTGGTCGTGGTTCATGACAAGTCGAAATCCTGTGATTGTTGTATGGTCTTGAAAGAAAAATACGATATGATATCACGTAAACTGGAAAAAAGAAGATCTTTTGAAAAGCAAGAAGAAATTGTAAAATCAAAAATTAATGGATGGATTTTTGAATATTTTTCAATCCATCCTTGAAATTTTCAAAATCATAATATTGTTTTTGACCATAAAGACAGCATTGAAAATATCAGGGAAAGGAGAAATTGAAAATGACAACATTTTCACATTATTAATCTTTTCAATTTTTGAATGATCAATCAAAAGAATCGAATTTCTCCAATAATCGCGTACACAGATAGGTGGGGCTTAATCCGATAACAACCATATTATGGATTCCTTCTTATTTCACCCGATGCGAACAGGTGTCTGCTTCTGCGACGCATTGTATACGCCTCCAAAAATATATCTAATATGCCTGTTATTTGTATTTTAAACATTGAAATTGGTGGCAACCAGTAGAAATGTCCGCAGTGGTGTTTCGACTATGTGGGCAGATCGCATATAGAGTTGGTTTAATTACCCAAGTTTGAGGTACACCACACTTCCAACCCATTTCAACCAAGTGGTGTCAGCATAAAATTTTGCAGAGTCTCACCTTTCTGAGAGACCATACGATTCTATTGTACCCTTAACAAATTCAGGCCCTATAAAGTAGAATTCGACATGAGATTAGAGGTATTCCGATTAATATAGCACCCCCAAATAATATTCAATTCTCTCGGGCAAGCCACTATTTTTTCTCCAATCTCAGTCAAATCCACCTCTGAATTGAGAAAAGCGTATCAATTTTTTCGCATCGTTTCTTGTATGAACAAACTACTTACAAATTTCAAATTTATCTAACAAAATTAATAATCTGAATAGGATGACTCATCCAAACATTGCGAACATCGAAATTTCGCATCGCCTCATTCCGTTTTCCGCTCCCATTCAATCTCATTACTATCAACAAAACCTCGCGTTCACTTTTCCTCTGTGCTTCATGTTACTGTTAATAGTGCTGAAATCTATTATTCGACTATTCACAACGTTTTCAAATGAAATGCTGATGAATGAACTTTACGGTAGTGGTGACGAAATATTAGCCTTTTGTCAAGCTTACAGTTCAAACCATATTTAAACTGCAAGATTGATAAAAGGATGATATTAACCAATTAACCATTATTTATATATTATAAAGGGATTACCTTTTTTTAAACGTCATCATTTTTTGTCTATTTCCACAAAATGATGCAACATGTTTACAAGAAAAAGGGGTTGAGGGTCGCTTACTCACACCCGTCGTCATTGTGCAATCTGTTAGAGGTGCAGGGTGAAAAAAAGGTTTTGACAACATTTGTGTCTCGAATCTCCGCCCATTTCGCGCAGGTTTTCTTATTTATTTCAATATTAAAATTCCGATCATTTCGCGCCTTCACCAGCTCTGATATTCACAATGCGTATTTTCGTCTTGATTGGGCTTTTCGGACTCTTCCTCATTGCTGCCCCGCACAGTCATCGTTGCATTTCGTGCATGGACCACAGATTGGTAACATTTTTGCTATCGTGCACGTCGAGTTTTATGGATTTTAAATGTATTCCAGTTGGATTCATCGTTTTTTGCTAAAATGACTGCTAAGCAGATGCTCGCCTGGAAGCACCGAAGAATTTTGCCGCAATGCCAAAATACCGCTGCCGTTACACTCGTCAATTGCAATAGCTCCTGTGTGAAAATCAATATGGCTCAGCACACGAATGGCAACCATTGGGCCGTTATTGGAAAATACTACGACTGTCAAACTTCCGATCTTGCTCAATTTTTGACCAGCAAGAAAGAGAGTGCGTTACTCAATTTCACTCACTCATTTTTTTACAACTTTTCTTTTAGGTGACCCATATTTATACATCTTGCAAGAATTTTCGGATGGCAATCAAATCAGCGATCTCACGGGAAACTTTCTCGACAATTTCTATAACAGTTATTTGGTTGGTATTGCCATTGTATTTGCTTTTGTCATCGCCATCCTCACCTACTATTTCATTGAAAGTCTTGGAAATATTTTCGGATTTCGCGTTTTCGGATTCATAAATAACCCGATTGAAAGCAATGACAACTAATTGAAATGGTTATTATTTAGCCCAAAATTTAACAAGTTTTATAAAAATGACGCTTTCAACAATTTTAAAATTATCATAACTATATTAATTATATTTCCAACCACCAGTTGATACAAATCTGAATAAATCCTTCACTTCCTGTTTTTTTTTTCGCCTTTTAATCATAGAAAAGTTTCACTTCGTTTTGCTTTCTTTTTCTTCTATTGCTCTGTTAATTTGTTGTATAACTCAATAAATTCTATTCCGAGGAAAGGCTGAAAAAAACGTTTCGCTTTGTTATAATTTATATATAATCGCACAAGAATTCGTACTCTTTAAATTTACTATAGTATCATCATAGATAATGGCCAAAAATTTTTAATGTTGAATTGAAAAATATGGACAGAATTTGAATATTGGAAAATTCTTTTGCCTATTGCAATATGCACATGACAAAGGGTCTCAAATTGCATACATATGTTCAATTGTTTCGCTAAACTTGAAACAAAAGCTTTTCAAATTCGATGAAATATTGAGCGTTTGAATTTTTTAGAAATCTTAATCAATTCCTGATAATATCAGTGATAGCAATTACGGCCATCAATTTTTCTTTGTTTTTTTTTTCACCCAAATTACATTTGAAAACTATTACTTTTTTTCTAAAGCAAACCCTTATTTTGCAATAATCAATACACAGGGTGGCCCATAATTATGGAAACACATTCAAAGTGATGTAACTTTTCAAAAAATGATCGAATCAACTTGAAAATTCACAAATAGTTTATTGAATAAATTATAAACAAAAATACAACAACATTACTCGATTCGATTTTTTTTGTTCTTCATTACTTCCTAGACTGTGGCACGGAGGTATTCTGAAGATAGTTTGGCCCATTCCTCAACCAAACATTTCTTCAATGACTCCAAATTGGTGCCTGGACCTTCGATTAAAATACACCTTAAACATAATAGTCGAGTTGGCTCAAATCCGGCGACGACGCTGGTCATTCTGAACAAAAAATAAACCGGCAAAATTTCAAATTTTTTTTTTTAATTTCCAAACCTGGTTTCGAAAGTGTGTTTGGGTCCGTGATAGCACGTGTTTCCTTGAACTTCTTCTAAGTAGTATTCCCGGTTGATTGTGACTCCGGGATCCACAAAAACAAGCGGCATCTTCCCATCAGACGTGATCGCCCACAAAACCATCACTTGTTGACGATGAGACATTCTGTTGATCGTTCTTTCGTGCTTATTGGCTTTGTCATCGTCCCTTGCAAGCACCTAATGATTTTGCGAGTTGAATTCACCCTCTACGGTGGTCTCGTCCGTAAACAGCGTCTTCAAATGTTCATTTTGGGGTGTGCTAGAAAGACGAAATTCGAACTAAGCTTTTTTTTCATCATGCGCTCCATCAAAGATTTGCTTATCTTTCTCATGCTCCGGTGCGGATTTCGACGTATTCCTTCTCTGGCGACCTTGATCCTCTCCGGAGTGATAGAACTGAGAGTTCTTCCGCTTCTCGTACGGTTTTCAAGTGTTTGAAGCTCCTTGTATCGTTTTACGGTTTTGCAAACTGTTGATCGAGAGATTATGTGAGTTTTTGCGATGCAACTGTCGCTCTTTCCTCATTCGATAACGGTACGTCGGTGTTTTGAATTGGCTACCATTCCAGTAAAAATTACGCTAGAAACTAGAAAATTTGGGAAAAGGGTAATTAAAACATGCTGAAAAATAAAATAATAAAATTGGTGCGCGAAAAATGCGCCAGCATCTGGCAGAAGGCTTTAAACTTGTGTTTCCATAATTATGGGCCACCCTGTAAATTGTAACAAAATTTGCACAATTTTCATATCAAGAATTTTTTTCTATTCACCAATCATTTATTCTCAGAACTCAGAACATATTTAAAAAAAAAAACTCAAAAAAAAACTTAGAAGAGATTTTGGCATGTGCAATTGTGAGGTTTGACAAAATTGAGCATATCTTCAATGTCTCTCACAGACTGCTCGACCTCTAAAACTACCTTAAAATGTAACAAAATCATATTCAGTTTGAACAAAAAGCAAATATACCGAAATATCATCTTGAATAAGAGTGATTCTGTACAGCAAGTTGATCAGATCCCTGCAACTGTACATCAAGCGATTGACATGAGCGTTCTCGTTATTTCCACGTTCAATCCAATCATTCTGAATGAAAATCGGGTTTCTGAATAAAATACACAAAATACGTACGATTGTCGTCTGGATTGTTTCAATACGAATGATACAATAATCAATCCGATCCTGAATTGAAAATTGAAGAACTTGACTATGAATTTAAAAAAAAACACCTTGAAAGAAAACGAGAATCGATCTGAAATTGTGGTGGAGTTGGTGTTAAGAATCATATATTGATCCGATGTATTGCTCAGTGCAGCGGACATTTTACTGAAATTATATTATATTAATTATATTCTCTTTCCAAAGGGAATCGCCAAATGTGATGAGGCTCACGGTAAATTCAAACTGATATTTGGAAATTTGGTGAACAATAAGAACAAATTACAATAAATCAAATAGGGAAAATAAGTAAACAGTGACTACTTGCAGTTGAAAAAAAAACGAATGTAAGAGGGTCGAGAGAATAAAAGATAACGAACGCCAAGATAGAGAGGTCAAATAACAAAAAATATTATTGAACGCACGTACATATTCGCGCGATCAATCTATATACATACGTAAAAAATAATGTGTAGTCGGCGTCCACATGTGACGAGACCATTTCGAAAAGCTCTCGTATACCCACGTGCAACAGTCGCCGGACATCGACTATATGACTCACTCTTACGTTTTTATTCATTTTTTGAAGAGCAGCATCGAACAAATTTAAATGAATTCTGTTAATCAAATTAAAAAAAAGATATAATATAATTCATACAAATTCATAATTTTTAGGAATGCCTAGTACTGCCAATACATCTGCTCACAACAATACTACCACCAATGTCAATCCTGGAAATTTTTCGAAGGTACTTTTTTTATTTATGGCTTATGCTTTACTGAATAAATACAAGTAAACCCACTCTTTTTTCATTTTGTTTTGATATATCCTATATGTTATTCAGCGTTTCAAAAGCCTGCTAAATGTCAGTCTTTCAGCAATTTATGCTGATTTTTTAACAAAGCTACATATATTCTAAACAAGCCTTTACAATTTGCCTATTTAAACGCAAGGGGATTTTCAGGAAGTGACGAGCATTCCTCGATTAGATCTTAATCATGGCTTTATTCGATTTGTGAGAAACAATCAGTTATCAAGACTACAACAAGATCAGTTAGACACAAAGAGAATACATGATTTGAAGATCCATTTGGCTCCAGATTGCCAAAATCCTTTTTCTGAGGCAGACGTAGAAAAATTGTTTGTTTGTTTTAATTTAAATTTCGTTTTTGTAGATTGTTTTCGATAATGAACAGAATAATGCCATTTATCGCCGCTACAAAATGAAGCATCTTTCAATTTCTAGTATTAAGTCAATACTATCAAAGGCAAAAGAGTGCGCATTGAAATTTTATTACTTTTAATTTGTATGTATTTTAGAGCACCAAACGCAATAATTGAGAGCAGATTTCTGTTTAAACTACTTGTTTATAAAAATGGAAGATGTTATTGCTTCGAAGTTATGTCGGTTAGTTAAATTTATCCTTTAAAAAAAGTTTTATCAGTTTTTTAAATTGTGAAACTGATGTTCTAGTTCTATGAAAAGTTTATGGCTTCGAAAAATATAAGTATTGCAAATAATTGTGTATCATTTTGCATATTCCCTCGAGTTAAAGCAATTTGTTAAAGCAAGTAGCTCATTTCAGACGGATGAAGCGGCGCGAGTCGCTAAAAAAGTTTATTGTGAATTAAATTTGAATGATGAACAATGCCGAAGACTTCGTTTATTCTTGGATGCTACAATACAAAAAGGATTACGCCTCAAATCATCCACTGGATAATTGAAACTTTCATTGTGCGCTCTTTCTTTAATTCATTTTGTGCTCTTTCATGTTTATTTTCTTTTAAATAAAAAACACTCGATTGGGACTAAACTCCAAAAGCAGCTTATCAATTGTCAGAACTGGTATAGGTTATTTCAATGTGTTATTTTTCCGGTAGTCAGAGCAACTTATTGGATTGGATGGTTACTTTTCTATCAGCTTGGGATATCGTTTTTTCATGTTTTAAACAGTTTGACCACTTTATTACTGAGAGAGTGCTTAAATAGGAAAGACAACGAGGGAGGAGAAAACCGATAAACCCGAAATTAATAATAGTCATCGAAGAAATTAATATTTCGGAGCAATTTCGAGTAGAACGCCCTTGAGTCATGAGCTTTTTCGATAGATTTATTTTTGTGTTTTTTTCGGCAGTCCACCTGAAAGAAAGAATCAAGATCGTTGACTTTTGTCCGAGAACGAACATCAATCGCGAGGTGGCACAAAGGCTCTATTCCTTGAACATTTTTGTTTGTCTGATCAAAGGTCACCACAAGTTTTTGATGATATTTTGCAGGAACACATTGACGTTTGTTTGGGTAGTTCTGCAATATAATGCAATTGATCTGCAGAATTAGCGTTTAGTGATACCTTATTCGGTAGGGAATAGTCCCAGTATCGCTGTGCGGCTCTCACATCAATGTCTTTTGATGTGATCTCTTCCATGATCGTTTTGTTGCAATAGTTCACTAGTTTCTCTAATGCCGCGCTGATTCTTGGTTCATCTATTTTCGCGTTTCCAAATTCATCAAGCATCTTGATTCTTTGCTCGAGCGTGATCGGATACAACAATGCTCTCTCGCGGTCGAACACCTCTTCAAAAATTCCCATCAATTCGATATCGACCATTTCCTATAATTTAATGATTTTATTTTTCGTCAAAACTAATATTATCAACTAACCGTTTCTTCCACTACTGGGACCATATGCCTTCTATAAATCTCCTGCATCCGTCGGCACATTTGCACCATTTTATTTCCCTTCAATTAAAGATTTTTTATTATTTAAATCTGAAATCGTACCTCTTCAACGGTTACTCCAAATGCTTGAAGTGCGTCTTTTCCTATTTTTTCCAAAATTTTACCAATTTTGACCTTTATTGGCAAATCCTCTGTATAATTTGGCCCAATGAGATATTTTTCTGCCGATTTACACACTTCATTAAATTGCCACAACGCCATCATCTGAAAAAAAAACAAACATTTGGCTGAACTTTGTTATCGTTATTTTTGTTTACTTGGCTGTAGCGCCTGCCTTCATTGGAAAGGTGTTGAAATGATCTTGCGGCAAACCACGCAACGTCGAATAACCTTTTTTTATGTAACATCCACAGCGCTCCAGGTTTGAGTGAGCCCGTCATCCATCGGAACGTTTTCCCCACTTCCCTCGCGAATCCTCCCGCCGGCTTCGTCTTCTTTTTTTCAAAACTCTTAATGTCCTCGCATAGTTGCCTCATCTGAATATATTTTTTTCAATTTTTCATTTTCCTATCAACTTACCACGTTTGTCAAGCCTCGGATATAAGGCGTTGCGTTTTCATCTAAGACTTCTGCATCGTTTTTATTAAAAATGCTAGAGCATTTCCTCGTGAATTTTGTGTTCTCACACCCCTACAATCTAATAAATCAATTTTTTGTTAGTGTTACAAACAACCTTCGAACTGTCCCTTAGAAGCATTTGGAAAAATGTTTCTCTTTTGAAATTGTCCCAGTCTTCGTCGTCTTTCAGTTGTTCCAATGGGTATTCCGTCAAATTTACAGAGCCAAGCATTTTAAGCAATTGAGTGTCATTTTTGATGGGTAGTTCAATCTAAATGCTTCTTAAAATTTTCAAATAAATTTAAAATCGACCTACGGCGGGGATATTCCATAACTGGAAACATATATCCTTCATCACGTGTGCCAGACTGTTGGTGCCACTTTCACGCTCTTTCATTTTTCGGTACTCGTCCCTTATCATCTCGAAGTCCTGTTGTTTCTGCGCCTCACGGATTCTTCCAAGCTTCTCGTCGTTTCCAATCACATCTGACAATACCGCCCAACACGATTCCTGTATTATTTATTTTGAATGTTTCAGGTTGAAACAAAAAAAAACGAAATTACCGTTAGTGAATCCTGCTGCTCCGGCGCGGCGCTCAGATCTTCCAGGGCACTATAGAGAATGTCCGAAAGGTCGCACACGGTTTTCTCCTCCGCCAAGTGATGTTGACCATTGATGTCGGACAGGAATAAGACGATGATTAGAATTTTAGAGAACATTTGGATGGTTTTGTTTACTGAAATTTCATGCTTAAAATAGCCTTTATATCGATAAAGTGGGCGGAGTTTGGAGCAGCATGTGATTAGAAAGTAGGCGTGTTGATACGAGAAAACGATGATAAGTTCAAGAGTTTATACTCCAAAGAACAAACAGGACCACTGAAATAAAAGAAATAATTCTATTACAGTAGCACAAAGCACAATTACAGTTGTTCTCATGGAAGAATTTTTTAAGGATCCTAAATTAGTAATATGATTCATGCTTTCTAAAAAAGTCTAGAGATGATTTCGTGTTATCAGGGCAAATTTCAGCTTTTCCTAAATACTTATAAATTTATTAAAATCTTTGCATGTATACCAAGAAAGACTTAAAAATGGAAAACCAGTTCAACAATTTCAATTGTCGGAATCTCAAATGTCGTAGAACTATTATTCAAAAGAAAAATGTTTCAAATTATGGCTAAGTCACAAACTTGCAACAAATTCTCATTCAAAACATTTTAGATTCAATCCCAAGCTCTTCATGCCCAACTGCTGTACTAAATCACCAGCAAAATCCAAAACAATAAATATTGCCTTCTTTCTTACTTCCAATTCTGTTTATTTATTTACATTAATCGTATAAGTTTGTATTATCAAAAATTGTTCTACGGTTAATTCTTAAAGGATCATCATGTTTTATTCAATTTTATTCATTTTGTTACATGCGGACTCCGTTCATCTACGCAACTGGCAGGAGACGGGACCAATACTTATTCGATTCACATCTTATTCTAAAATTGTATTCTATTTGAAACGTCTGAAATTGTAAATAAAATTGAAGAAAATAGTGGCGTAAAAAGGGAGAGATGAAACAATAAAAACATCTGACCTAGAGACGACGTTAGGCGATGAAGAGTTTGTTGTCACGCCTTGTTCTGGGAGCGCGAAATAGCGGACATTTGACCCTGGCAATTTTAGAACCGTGCTTATCACGAGCAGAAACTAAAATTTTGGTGTTTAAAAAATTCCAGAAGACACCAATTAGTTTCCAAAAAAAACCAATTTTTTTCTGCAGAAACAACATTGTTTTGCTTAATCAGTTTTTTATCCAAAGAACGAATAATTGGAGAAAAAAATAAAAAATCAGGAAATATCTCAAACATAGGCTGTAGTGTATTTTCATCTCCGTTGCTCAAGTTTTATGTTATACGCGTTTATTTAATTTAATGTTTTAGCCGATGGAGTGAATAAGAATTTAAAAAACCGACTTGTTCTTTGAGAATAAATAGTCGAGCAATTTTCGACAGTGAAAGCCTTAATTCGCTTTATCGAAAATTATAATATATAATAAATATCTCTAATGAAAAATATAATTTTTTTTTTTACAGAAGTGTGTTTTCTCAATGATATCGTTAATATTGCCACTAAATTGCCAAATTCAATTAATATCGAATACTTTTTCAAAAAAAAAAAGAATTAGATCCAAAATGAGACCCAAAATAGTGACCGAAAAACGCGACAGCATTTTGTAGATTGCGCTTTTTATGAACTGTTTTTATCAATATATTTCCGAATCATCTGTGCTCAAAAAACATATTTCTATAGTTTTTCGGTTTTTAAAAAATCATTTTGAAAAGGTAATTATGTCTGGACAATTAATTTTTTATGCACGACTTCAAATTATTAATAATTTATTCGTTTATTAAAAATCAAAAAAATAGTGTTTAAAAAAATTGATACAATTAAAACTTTTGACACAGTTGTGGTAGTTGTTGTTGAAGATTTTCAGTTGTAGTGTCTTTGTTACCTTATGACCGTAGCTAATAGAACAGGTGTGCACGAAGACATTGGGTTTGATGAATCTAAAATGTTTTGAATGAGAATCAATATGGAAGAGTATCAAGTCATACCTATTCATCCTCCTCGTCGTCGCTTTCCCAGCGGACCATTTCCCCATCTTGAAATTCATCTTCGTCCATTTCCTCTTCTGATTCGAATCCTTCATCGTCTTCTCTCGATTCGCGGAACTTCTTCATGGTTTCTATAAGGATCTCCGCCCTTTTGTGATTCTGCTCGTCTTCGTTCATGTCTCGAATTTCGGTCTCCAGCATGAAGAATGTATTCAGGTTCCATTCGACTTCGTTTGGGTCGAATAGAACTGCTGGCTCCATTGCCACTACCGTCCGGTACAGTGCCGTCATACATGCTTCTTCCACTTCATCCAACTCGGATTCGTTCGAACGAGATTGAATGCCAGCATATTCGAGCAGGATGCAATTGATGGAGAACCAAGCCCACTCTTCATAAGAAAAGTTTTCGCCGAATTGCTCAAGGCGCTCAAGAGAATTCATATTTTGCCTGTAAATGAAATGTTAAAATAGCAGAGAAAAGAGACATAAGCCATAGATACTGAGTAATTGGTTTGGCATAGCAGACCGAAAAAAGAAAACACAGAATGATGTCGGAAATGGTCATTAAACCGTGCTATTTATACCCAATTTTTTGCACCCATTCAACGTTTTCCCATCCGCCCATTTTTTGCACGTCTACATACACGCTTAGCACATTTCAGGTGAAGAAGCACGAAGTCTTCACACATATCAGCTTTACCTTCACTTGTTTACATGCTTTGTCACATTTCCCAATTAGAAGTGCGATAATGGAAACCTAGCACTATCAGTTTTCGCAATACCCGATCGATCAGGCCGAGAAAATCCTATAGGAAAATTAAAGGAACTTTGAATATTTAGGTTTCCATGATTTTATCTTGTTCGTTCAAATGCCAAATACTCTTCCCTTTTAAATTTTGTAGGAAAACAGTCGCGACTCGGTATATTTCTGAAAAAATTGCAATGCGAAACCAAAAGCATAAGAACCTATTTATTCTAAAAAGAGCTGGCACATATTAAAAAGAAACATGAGAAAGAGAAACACATTTTTTTCCACATATCAGAGAAAAACAATAATATTTACACATCGAATAAATTTTCCTCAAATTACGAAATGTATTAAATTAAACTTTCTATTTTTATTTATGAGAATCGAGAATAGTTTTGTGCTTTTTTTGTTAAACTTTGCTGATTTTCCTAAAAAAAAAGTTGTGTTTTTTATATCGGTTTAGTATAAGAAACAAATCCCCAAAAAAATCCCCCCGAGCACGATCGAATAAAAATGTTCTCTTCTATCCCAATTGAGATCAACCTTATATATTTCTGCGCAGCTATATGTATGTTATAAAACGGAGCGCGCACCTCTATGTATATTTTTTTTAGGTTTGTCTATTTTTCAATTGTTTAATTTATTATTATTATTATTATTATTATTATTATGCGGCTAATGATGATATCTTTGAATTTATTTTGCCTTCTTATTTTTTGAATAACTCGCCACGCAAGCCGTCCAATTTTCAAACCAATAACAACTAATGTCCCTCATTGATGCAAGAAGTTGAAAATTGGGCTGCTGTTGCGACCGAATAAAATGTCGGGAATAGGGAAATCAGGTGGGTGCACATTCATTGAAGAAGAAATAGTGGCAAATGACTTGGAACAGGCTTTTTTATACCTGTCTGGTATGAGGAACGCCATGTCTCCGCCCAGAAAAAAGCAAAGAGACCGCGCGACGAAAATTCGATTTTCTCAGGTACTCAATTAATCAGAAATATTTAGATATTGATTGAAAATGTCTAAAAAAAAAGTGTTTCCAATAAGAAAATCATTGTTAAATAATTAATATTTTTGAAACGAAAAACCAGGAATTTTTATCGTTCAAAAATCTTGCTCGTATTTGAATAAACTGAATTTTTCATACAAGTGTTTTAAATTTTTCTGTTTTTAATGAATTTCTTCCCTATGCTGAAATTTTTTGAAAAACCGACTCGATTAGTCTCTTCTTTGTTAAGAATACCGCCATCTGCTGGGTTATTCTTTCAATTCCTTTTATTGTTGTTGAATGCGGCAGTTTTGAAATTTAAAAATTTGATATTTTGTTGTTATTCTCATTCTATTGTGACACAAGAAATTCAAATAATGCCAAAATTACTAGAAGACTCCAAGCTGACGTCTTGCTCACGGTATTGTAAAGGCGCGGCGTCTGTCTTTGATTCTCAGAAGACATGGGAGACCGTCAGCAGCGGCATCGTTTTTTTGATGCTTACCAATGTAAATAAAAGATTCGGACTCACAAGTTTGCATTTTTTTTTCCATATAGTTAAAACCAGGGCAGTGTCGTTATGAGATGAACTTGGATGTTTTGTAATCCGCAATTTCTAAATTGATTCGCGAAAATCACCAATAAAATTATTCTTACTGCAGAATTTACACATGTGTGAGTTTTAAAAAAAACTTCATTTGTTAGGACCGAAAAGCTTGGAAAGCTGTGGTTCGCGCCTCAACAGGCGAAGGACGAACCGACTAAGTGATTAAGTGTAAGTGTAAGTAAGTTATTAAACTATTTCTTTTTTTAAAAACTATTTCGTCTAAAACTTAAATTTTGCGGGGGGCCACGGATTCGTGCCAATTTGACAATGTCCACTGGAGCATTTCGCAATAATTTGACCTGAACAACTTAAAATGATCTGTGGCAATCAAATATTATACATCTGCTAATGGGAATTGTTTGTCTCTTTGACTTATCTTAAGTCTCCTCATTATTTCTTATATGATACTTCTAGAACTGATATTCCTCTTTCCCGGCAACTCTGCTGCGTTGACATCGCGTTGCCACCCTCCCGGGACACCAAACTATGGTGCAGAAGAGGGTGGCCATTCTCTCTCATTTACTTGAGGTTTAATATTTTTTTCTCCTTCTTTAATTTATCGTTTTGTCTGCATCTATTTATTTATCAATTGTTTTTATTGTAGACTTGTTGTGAAACAAGACTATCGACCCACATCGTTAGTGACTTTTCTGAATGATGTTTGACGTGAACTGCGACAAAGGATACGTGGAATTTCTAAAAGAAGCAAAAATCCTTCACAAAAAAATGGTATGCTAAATTCGGATGATTATAAATTTTTCACTCACAATTTTCAGAATGATATTCGACTAATGCAAGAGAATAAGTTTGCCAGAATGAGCGGTTCTCTTATCAGTGGCTTTGAAAATATTCGAGTTCTCCGCATTCTTTCCAGCCTGCTTCGCGAAACATGTATGCTACATGCATGTGAACACGACAATTTCAATGTACGTAATTAATTCTGAAACATATTGATAATTTTTGATTGAAGATGGTCATCCAAAAATATCGAGATGTCGTTCGTAGTGTTGAAGAAGAACACCTAAAAATTTTAAAATCGGGTATTGATGAAGTTGGCGAAGAAGCGGAATACGAGATCAAAATGGAATTGAATAGTGACATCGCGGAGGATCAGAGTATTGGCGTTTACGCTTCAAGGTCGAAGCTATTAAGGAAGTGTTGGTAGGTATTTGAGAATAAATCCTTTTGTTCAATTGAATATAAAAATAAAAATTCCTTTTTCCTGAGTGTTTTCTAATTTCGTGAATAGATCCAATTAGAAACTTCAATGTCGTAACCACTATAGGATGAAGACCAGAAAGAAATGGCTGCATGTGGTGCCTTTCCGGATTACATCGACATGCAAAATGTTACGGTGAAGGGAGACCATCTTTTGAGTGAAGACGTTGATGTGGACGATGTAGAAGCACTATTTGAAAAAGAAAAAGCCGATTTTCAAATCAGCGTTTGTATCGGAATGCATCGAGAGATTGACGAAGAAGTTTCGTCTTATCAGGATATGATGGTAATGAGAAAAGAACAATTATATTTTCGATTTTATTTTTTTTCAGATTTTGTACCGTCTTCGTCAGACGCGTACTTTTGGCACTCTCAGCCGCGCAATGGCAGAGGGCGACGTCAAATTTCCCAAATTGATGCAATCATTGGAACTTCTGCGCGAGGAGTGTATGCAAAATCGATGTGATCACGCTGCCATAAATGTAACCACAACGTTTCGATTTTTTAGGCAATTCGTTAATTTTAGGAGCTATTAAATGATTGCCGTGAAGTGTTTCAAAATGTTGATACGGACCACGAAAAAATAATGCAACGGTTCAAGAACGGCGAAAATATCGAAGATTTTTTATCTGAAAGATTCGAAGTAATATTATAAATTTCTGATGAACATTATTTTTCACTTACTTTTTTTCAGAATAACCGGAATGACGGCAAACAATAAGATAATTGTATATACATGAGCAAAATTAAATTTGCGAAGAAACAAAGATCAAATTCAATGAAAAATTTTTGTAACAAATTTTTTGTATAGGTTACAATTGTGTCTTTTTTTGTTGTGAAATGTGAACGTGTTGTGACATGAACTTTTTGAAAGTTTCGTGATTGTCTTATATTATACCAACTTGTTTGACTACTTTTTATACTATTTGAGAATTGAGCAACAAGAACTTCTGTTAAATGAAAGATAATTGAAGAAAATTGGGATTGTTCGACATTTAGCCTTTTCTTGTTGAAGCACATTCAAGTATTCCATACAAGAAATTAATTAAATCAGTTTATTTATTATATACAATAAAAACAAGACCACTGAGATAAAATGTTGGGAAATCGGTGGCAATTTTGGAGCTACATAGTAAAAAAAAAAGAAAAAATGATTGCTTTTTTAATTAATGAGGCCGGCGAAAAACTCAATTCAGATATATACTATCAAAATTAACACTTGGAGTATTACAGTCTAATCACCCTGAGAGGTTACGAAAACATTTGTTTCGCGAATATCGACGGAAAAATATTTCATACAAAGTCGGCTCCTCTGTGACATTCGACACGTTCATCAACGCTTTAGCAAACTGCCGATGCTTGTTCAAATTATCATTTGCGGGGTCAAATCAATCATCAGAAATTGAACGAATCTTGTATTTAGTGCGAAAATCTTCATCAAACTAGAAAAAAACTTTAATAGTTGAAGCTTAGCTCTTGATAATAAAAATTATAAAGCTCGAAATTTTCAAAAAATGTCTTAATAACCGTTGCAAGTTGATTTTTATTCATCTGAAAATCATCAACGTGATCCATTAAGCATTCATGGAAGTTTCTTTTTACCAATGTGTAATCCATGCCAGTGTTTTATCCTCGAGACACACAAAGGCCGTCCGACTTTTATACATGATATCGCGTCTTGTCAGTTCAATACGCAAATAGTTTCGACGACAGCTACATGTTTTCCGATGCCTCCAATCTTTATATTCGAAGCAATTATTGTCTCACACATTGATTTGATACAATTATAAAACCTGCAGTTTTGCGCTTTCAATTTTTTTGTATTAAAAAAAAATATTTTTTCTACTGCGTTTCATTGGAGAATAGATCAGATAATTTTCAATTTTTTCAATTTCTTTATTTTTTTTTACTTTCCAAAAAATAGAATTAATCCTCTACTCACAAGTTTGTTCACGAAGAAGCGCAGTTACAAACAGTTGTAAACTTCCGATTTTGATTTGTGCGACCAGATGTTTCCTTTGAAGGCGCCAACAATCTACCAGTAAAGAGGCGTTTATGATTGTAAAAATGAGATGAGTAATATGAGAACATCTCAGAATAATTGAAGCATAATGTTTTAGTCTTTTAGGCGACCCAATAAATAATAAAATCTTTTGAGCAAGATTTTTTTTTTACAATAAATAACCTTTGTTCAATTAATGAACCAATTTTAGTAGAATATCAATTCAATTAATTTTCTGATTAATTGAATTGATATTCTACTAAAATTGGTTCATTAATTGAACAAAGGTTATTTATTGTAAAAAAAATCTTGCTCAAAAGATTTTATTATTTATTGGGTCGCCTAAAAGACTAAAACATTATGCTTCAATTATTCTGAGTTGTTCTCATATTACTTATTTCTTTTTTACGATCATATACGCCTGTTTACTGGAAGATTGTTGGCGCCTTCAAAAGACACATCTGGTCGTACAAATCAAAATCGGAAGTTTACAACTGTTTGTAACTGCGCTTCATCGTGAACAAACTTGTGAGTTGATTTCGCGGAATCCTTTTATGTATTGAATTATTCTTTGTACTATCGTGTATTTTATAAATAATTTTATCAAATATTTCGTCATATTTCAAGCGGATAAATTCGAAAGAACATTATTATATCTTCATGAAAATTGAAATTTTTTAAAATTTTCGGCAAGCAGCAAAGCTTGAATTAATTAGTATATGTGTTAAACACCGCTAGCGACTACATCGAATAACTTGATTTTGAAAATGAAATGAGTATGCTCTAATTTTGCAACTCTTTTGTTTACATTAGCAATTATCAAAGTAACAAAGCCGCCGCTGGCGGCTTCTCATATGGTTTCTAAATCAAATGCATTGGCCGAGCGTTTACAATACTAGGCACAAGACATCGGTATCTTTTAATTACTTGAGAGTTGATTGAATACTCTTGTGCACTGTCGACATTGTCGCTATACACATGTTTAATCAGCCAATTATTATTATTATTTCTCTTCTTTGATAACTCTTGACTAATCCAAAGTTAAAATTACATTTGAGTAATAATCTAGGTGATAATGAATGATCCAGATGATGTAATTCAAAATACCACGCCGATCACCAGCAATTTCACGGTCAATTCAGAAGGTGTTGAACAGGTATGAATTTTTGACAATAATTGCAGTGCAATAATCATTATGTTTTGTATGGTAGTAGTCAAAGCATATGAAAAAATTATATGTATATTCATATTTTCTTTTCTGTTTTTAAACTTTTTTGAAAGCAACAGATTTTGATTTAATCTTTTCGAGCAAAATGTATTTGTTATTTAATGTGACGCGAAAATCTGAGCGCAGGCCAATAGCCTCATCCTGAAATCATGAATTTTAGACGAAGGAGAAAGATGAGCTCAACAACACGTTAAACAATGATGATGCTTTGAAAAATCAGCTACTCATGCTCATATCAACCAGCGCCTTCCACTTATTTTGTGCAGCCGCAACCTTATCCATGGGCAATACTGAAAATGAGCAATTTCCTACTGCAACGACGACGAGCACACTCACAGCAAAAAATCAGGGATTCGCGGAAATCGGGGGTGGGCCGATTCGAAAAATTGCTGGCACCCGGGAAGCTAGGTTCGCGATTCTCGGTAACGAGGAAGTAGCGTCACCAGAAGATGTGCTCAATGTTGAATTCAACCTCGAGAATCTGCAAACGATATTTGTTGACGAAAAAAACGGGTAAGAAAAGGCTATGCTTCGTTTTATAATTAGGAGAAATCGTAAAAGAAAAATATTATTTCAATTATTTTTTTTTCAACCATTTGTATATTCAGCATAAAATTTCTTGCCCGTTACGGCCTTATTCCGAATTCGAGGGTGTGTCATATGCCAGAATGTCCTAAAGACAAATTGATGTGTCTTATTAAGCACTCAAAGGGTTTCGTGGTAAGTCCAAATTGGTCGTGAGTTTAACGAACTTTTGTAATTCAGTGGAGATGTAGATGGTGTCGAAATGGCCATGAAACAAGTAAGATCACAAAGGCAACGGTCTACAAGGGCACAGTTTTCTACAAACTGAGAGTTCCCGTTTGCAAAGTAATTGCAATTATAATGTTGCTTTTATTTATGAAACTTGATTTTCAGCTTTTTGTAGTCATGCTCGCCTGGGCTAAAAATCCCGGATTGTCCACTACCGAATATTAAAAGTTAATGGGGAAGCAAAAATTGGATGAGGAAGCTATCTACAACATTATTGCATTGATATACGAAATTATTCAAAAATGGTAAGATCAAAACAAAATATTTATAATTATATTAATATTTTAAGGTGTGAGAGGGAAATTGCTGAAGATGCGAAAATTGGTGGTACTGGTAAACATATCGAAATCCTCGAGACAGTGTGTATCGAGAATCTGTCAAGCGAGATTAAAAGCAGCGGAATTCGACATTATATTGATCGGACGGTTTTCCTGTGTCTCGAGGATAATACGCTTGCCTACGTGAACTACAAGCTTGTAAGTTGAACTACCCTTAGGCATTGGCTAGTAGGGATAAACTAATGACTGATTTAGGAGAAAAGAGATCTCATTGCAAGGGCGGTAAAGGAAAAATTAGCGCCTGGGAGTACTATTGTAATAAACGACATTTATCTAGAGAATTTCGGCGATTACGAAATGGTACTTCAAAGAAACAAGCTTCGATTATTGAATTGTTACTATTTCTAGCTCGATGAAATTCTCGGCAACCAATATACATTGTCGACCATTGCTGAAGCATGGCTTCAATTTGACGCTCAAGAATGCGAAAGACAACTCATTAAAAAGCTATTGTACAAGTTGCCAAGTGCTGAACAAGAACCTATCGCTTACGAAGACTTTTTCCGTCGCTGTTTCGGCGACAAATGCTTCAATCATCTTCTCCGCGTCATCCGGCTCTTGCAGACAAATTAAAAAAAAAAAAAAACAGTGTGCATCAAGGTTCCCAAATTCCTGTTTTCTTTCCCAATTTTTGATCAAATTTTAACTAAAATAGTAATAATCAATATTATTCTTACACTTTATTTTTGCATATTTTTGCATATAACTAGCCAGAAGTCTTTTGAAAAAATTTTTTGCTTTTCTTTTTTGCTTGTACTAAATTGTTTTGTTCTACCACCAACACAATCATTTCATCACTTTTTTTCGAATTGTTGATTTCAAAAAATAAAAAAAATTATATCGTTGTTAATCTTATTTTATATTCGTTTAGTCATCCTTCAGCCGCAATTATTAAAATCATTCCTATTATGCTTTAAAGAATTTCACGCTGTTAATCATCACATCACTGATCATTGTTTTTAATATTTAAAAATAGTAAATTAATGAATGTATCATAGTCATGATTTGTTGAATTAGTGAACAATTTTTTAGATGATTCCACTTTTTTCATTTATGGGACAAATTGCTTTATTCAATGTCAATTAACTATACATTCCACAGAAAAGTTATCCAAAACATTAATATGAAGACGAAAAGTAGCAGAATGAAAAATATTGTTTAAAAAAATGTTGAAATAATATTAGTCATTTTGAATGGATAAACGATAATTTTGATAACAAAATTGACAATTCAATTAAAATCTATGTCATTGGCCACATGCTCGTTGTGATTAGCATTATTGTGCCGATTGTGTTGGTCATTCTGGTGCTCAAGGTGTTCTCTATTGTAGTCTTCATTCTGTTCTCCACTGAGGACTTCATTCTGGTCAACATTCCGGTCAACATTCCGGTCTCCATTCCGGTCTCCATTCCGGTCTCCATTCCGGTCACCATTTGGGTCACTATTCTGGTTATCATGCTGATCTCCATTTTGATCACCAATCTGAGGCGCACCAATGTGCCTTTTACGGCGAATATTCTGACTACGTCTCAGAAACACAGCGATTTGTATGTTCATATATATGGTGAGTTCGCCGTTTCGGATCTTATTGACGTGTCTATTATTGTTCAAGCGCACGAAATATTGTGTGCCACCGCTGATTCGGTCTAGGCGTCTTCTGCGCAGCGCAAGAAAAAAATCCGCGATTTGTTTGCACCACCACTGAGAATTGAAACATTTGTAATTCCTTGAAATAAATTCTACTCACCACCACTGCTACATGATTATGTCTCTGAGATGCGCATTTCACCTGTTCTTCTTCCAACAATGTGCATCGTAGGCGGTAGTCTTCATAGTGATAATCGTCCTCGTCTTTAAATTCCTCTATGAGATTAGCGATACGCGGAAGAAACGTATTTACTTGAGTCCAGATTTTCTGAAAAAGACAAACCAATCTGGAATGATAACATTTGTTTTATTACCGCGCAATTTTGCTCTATGTTATTATGTTGTTCCATTTTTTTAGTTGAGAATTAATCTGAAATAAAATAGAAAATTCGATTCAAATGCTGTTCAAAAGATGAAGGTGAAAAATAGAATGAATCACGTGCCGTGAATATGAAGCTTCAAAATGATTTAGAGAGAGGTATCGCTAACGACTTCATTCAGTAACCATGGAGATACGCATCGCTGTTGACCGAAAAACTAACGCAGATACACCGTCATTCATCAATTTTAATGAGATGAAAAATATGAGAATTTTGTTATTTAAAACAAAGTTAGTACATAAAAATCATAAGAAATGGGAATAAAAAAACTATAAATTGACATATGCTCATATGTTATACATTACTTGACCAAGAAACTAGATAAGTATGCTTTTCGATTGATATGCAATTTCCTTGGTCTCCTTCTCTTTTTCAATGTCACTATTATTAGAAGTATGCTGTTTCCATTTATTATAAATGCCCTTGGAATAAGTATGAGTGAGCTGATTGACTGAGATACATCCAAAAAAAAAACAGATGGTAAAACTTTTTTCTAGTATTGCAATGCTTCAGCTAAAAACAACAATTCATTAAATCAGAACAATTTGCCACGAAAATTCAGATCTGAGTTTCGATGCGGCACAACAGAGCATTCAATCTTTCCTCCACAACTTGCACAAGCTGCTGAAATGTTTGTATTTTTTCGAGGAGCCTTCTAGTTTTTCGTACCAGAATGGCGTCGTGATCGTGTTGGTTTTCGAACATGCAGGTGTCCTTAGCGTCGTTGATTTGTTCGACACAATTGTTTATGAAAATGCTATCTATCAAATTCTCCACGTAATCATCAATTTGAATATTTCGCTTAAAATAATTATGATATAATTTCAAAGATTTCTGTGTTCTATTTACCAAAGTGAGAACGATTCTGGCGATGCGAACTTGAATTGGAGCCCAAAATTCGTCGCATTCCATGCGAGCTTGAAGTCTATCCGACATTTTCAGCAGAGATTTCTGAAATTAACAAGTGTTGCCATAAAAAACAGACGAGGTTTTAATTTGAATACGAAAAAAGCTCTCGGGAATATTTAATGTTTTCAAAAAAACTATAAATCAAATTATTTGAGGGAAAGAGACTCATATACGCAATATTGTAGGTTTTCAATTAATCATTGTCTTCTTTCGCTTGCTAACTCGTAATTATACTGTGCTATTTTTGTATATTTCATTTTAAGTATAGCGACTATAATAATGATTTGGAAATAACTTATCTCAGAATGAATCATCTATTCAATGTTGTTCGCATCCCCTTCCTTTTCCCAAAAAAGCGTGCCAAAGCTTTCTCATGAAGCTGAAAATGTATCTTTATTGCTATTACTATTAATGCTAAATAAACTTACATAATTAAATTTGCCAGAAATTGGTGCCCTTTTTTTTCGAGGAGCATTGCAACATTCTTGAAGTGTTCTTATTTCGCCCAAAGATTCTTTCCAACTTTGACTGGCACTTTTCCTATCTTTGGACTTCAATTCCCATAAGCCTAGCAGCCTGCGATGGACGTCATTTCATAAACTCAAATGAAAACTCAAGTTTAACCTAAATATTTTGTAAAATAAAAATTGTTTGATCGTCATCAATGCCATGGCGAATTGGATTAGAATGCTTGGAAACAATATGATTTGATAAACTGTTATGACTCCAAACGGTTTTATTCCATGCATTTAATTCGGCTCATTCTTGTTGAAGGATAGCAGATTGAGTTTGAGATGACGCCGAGTGCAGACCAACATATTATAGCAACATATTAATACTATGTATATTACTTAAAATAACGTTAAAAAACAGATTAACAACAACAGAGTAACAAAACCAACAAAAATAACAACGAGAGGGATTATAAGTTAATAGGGCTATTGAATAAACGTCAAAGAGGTGAACGCGCAAAACGAAACAAATTAAGCAGCTCAGGCAAATCAAATAAAATATTTTGAGAATCAAATATTCAGTGATAAACTCTAAAATATTTTGAGAAATTCTAAAGTCTATTGATACTTTCTAAAACTTATTGAGAATCAATAAATTTTAAAAATTTGGAATTTGTAAATTAAATCTTTTGAGAAAGTTAAATCTTTTGAGAAAGTGTAAAGTATCTCAATATATTGTAAGACTTTAAAATCTGAATAAGGCCCTTATGACTTCCACTGACGCAATTTGCGGCGTCTCTTTTTAAGATCTTCTAAATTCCAATCAATAATTTATGTTTTTGATGTTTCTTCCGTTTTTTTTAGCTTTTCGTAATAGTTTCTTCACTTCAGTGATGGACGTATTCATGAAATGCAAGTTTTTATAATAAATGTTTAACACTACCTTAAATCTGCATTGTTTTACATGCTGAATTTGAAACAGTTGTGTCTAAACATGTCATTGCATGAACAGGTTCATGAATTTTAAAAACACGCACAATTATTACAATTAATTACAATTATACTTCAGTTTCTAATGATTTCGATATTTTAGAAGATCGGGAAAAGTGTGGAACAAACATTCCAGAAACATTGGCCGATAGATTTAAGGAACGAGGTAAATACAGCAAATTCAATGAGCAGGTGCCCATGTGGATCACGGCCATGGATATTTTCCACCTTTTTCACGAGGGAACACGTATAATAAAAGGTACTTCAATTATGTCTCTCCTTTTTCAGCATTTAAAAATTGAAGATTGTCTTTTAGAAGTCTTCGTTAAAAACGAAATAAATATTTTTCGATGCGAAGCTATTGATGTGAAAGCGAGACTGCCATCTTCGGTAAAGTCGCTATCAGGAAAATTCAATGACATTAATAGGTCCGAAAAAGCTAGTGTAAGTTAATTTACCACTTGCAATTATCATCCTTTGAAGATTTTTGAAGTGAAAATTGTTTCTAACGCCATGATTAGGACCATCCCTCCGTTAGGTTCAGCCGTTGTGTTGCTTATACATGCCTGCTACCGATGGATGGCGTCACCGACTCGCTTAGTTACAAATACAACATTACCAAACAAAGTAATATGGGATCGTTAGCTATGTACATAATAGAAAATTTTTATTTCAGATCGCAGATATTTGCAAATTATTAGAAATTCTAATTTGAGATGGGGCGCCTCAATTGTTTTCTGGTTCAAAAGTGCACGTAAGTCGTTTTTTTGCAATTTTAAGAGTTATTGAACGTTGTAGCATCATGCTATTGTCGTTGATATAAGAAATAATACTAATGATTACTGTATTTATTGTTTCAGCAACTTATATACCATTTGTACAGTAATGTCATGGTCAGCTGTCGGCAATAAGCACGCAAGCGCATGAGCACATTTATCACGTTATCAAGAGAAACATGTGCTCGGAACAGACAAACGGGATTGGATATAGTATTTTGAGAAAGTTAGACTCATTCAGTTATTTTTTAAAACTGGCAATTTTCAGCTATAAACTATATCACGAGATTGTGACTTCATTGAAAATTCGTTTCAACGCGAATCCGGATTTAATTAAGAAGTCATTTTATCGCAAAGAACTCATGAAATTAATCGAAAAACGACAAATTCAATCATCAAAATTTGTAAGTTCAACATTTTCTTTCAGTATATGCAACGAATTCCTTATAGCAACGTTGTGCGTCATTCGCAGAAAAAGGAGAAAATGCGAAAAGGATAAATTGATTCATTTATTTTTTTTCTGATTTTTATTATTAATATATTCATTTCGCATTAATATTGTAATAAATGAAATGTTCATACATATTCAATTATTATGGCTGTTATTACATTCTATTTGTGTGAAAATTGCTCGATAACGTATGATATTACATAATATTGGACAGAGTTTATTGAGAACAATCTAAAATTTATTGATATATTCTAAAGTTTATTGAGACAAATCTAAAACTTATTGATAAACATTAAAGTTTATTGAGACAAATCTAAAACTTATTGATAAACTTTAAAGTCTCACAATATTCATTGAAACTTATTGATAAATTCTAAAATCTTATGAGATTTCCTAAAGTTTATTGAGACAAATCTAAAATATTATAGAGACACGTTAGCCTCTCAACGAACCTCATAAGATTTTAGAATTGTCTCAAAATTTTTTTTTTCATTTGCCTGAGAGGTTAGACCATCAAACGCAATTTGCGGCTGATGCAATGCAAAATATTCTGTAATTCGTGAATCCCGTTACTAAATTCTAGCAAAAAGTCCTCACGATTGGGGTGTCGTGGTCGTGCTTGTCGAGCTCAACACATCGTTCTTTGAACACCTCAAGCTCCTCAATCAGCTTGACGATCGAAATGGCTTGGTACTGAAGGTAAAGATCGTTGCCAATCTTCATATTATGCTGGAAATGTCTTAATGGATGTTAGTCAGTTTGCAATAAATAAACCAAATTGCTCAAATATCTTGTCACAATATCGCCGACACGTCTCCAATGCAAACTGCAGTTTACCTCAATCCGCGCTTCATCTTCCACTTTAAGAATTTTCATCTGAAAATCGAAATTGAAATTCGTACGAATGTGAATGAAAAATGGAAAAACGAGAAACACTAGAACGCTCGAGAAAAAACAATTTGAATAATGAAAATGTTGCATACTCGGTGTTTACACTGTTTTGCATATGTCCGCATAAGACAGATGTGTTGCGGCTAATTTTTATGAGCACTGCTCTGAACGCACCGCAAAAAGCCATCATAAATCAATGATTATAAAATGCGTTCCGGCACTCAAAAGATTGTCGTATAAACGTGTTAATTCTTCAGAGAAGGGGCTGGGAATTCGAATGAGTTTTGTGTTTAAGTGATAACACACACCGAAAGAAGTATGGACCCCATCAAGTTGACCTGGGGTGATCCAAACTGGCTGAACCGATTCTGAAACTGTCTGATTACCGTTTCCAAAACGGATTGTTGCCTATAAAACTACTCCCAAAAATGGTAGATTATATTATGATGCCACCTGAGAAACAAGAAGATCATTCTGTCGAAATTGCTGACTGATTCTCCCCTTCTGGCTGGTCGAAACAAAACTGGGCGGAGAGTCACGTGACGGAGCGAATGGAATGCATTAACTAGGTACCGTATTCGGTTCTCATACGGTAGATCTGGACATAAATGTTCCCTAGGTTTAAAAAACGATTCTGAAGGGAAAGGAAAATAGGTTTTCCGTTTTTTTTCGTTTTTATACAAAAATCAATCTATAGAAAATAGAAAAAAACAAAATTAGTCCTCAATATTCAAATTTTAGGCTATGTAAATAAAAAAAAAGTAATTATTTATTTTTATATTAAACATTTTTTCATTCTTTTTTGAGATTTTCTTTTTAAATCCGTGTATTGATAAAAAGTGACAAGTTCGCCCTATGGCCGAAAATTTAAATTTTTCGAAGAAACCTCCTCGAATGTTCGAGCTTGTTTCCCGCAGCGAACATCCGCGAATAAAACTGCCCTCCTCTATAAGCACTATCTCTCTTGGGCTCTCGCCGTCTCGCTCCCGCGAAAAACGATATTTCAAAAATAACTGCCTTTTATTAATCATTTTTTGATGTTTGATATTTTATTTTCAAATAAATTTTGATTATTCAACAAGCGATTTATACTTATAATTTGATCTTTCTACGCGAAATGTTGTGTTAATTGAACGAATTATCAGGGGAACTCACCATAATGGCCGATAATAGACTAGCCGAAGCAAAAGCTGATCCATCACAACCATCTTTCCTCGATTTGCCGGTGGAAATTGCATCGAATATCGCTAGACAGTGCAGAGTGAAGACGAGGTTTGAAATTCAACTGAAACTGTTTCAACATGAAACAGGTCTGGACGAGAAAGTTTTTTTTTGCAGCCACAGCCGTTAGGTTTAGAAATAATGAATTTTATTTATTTCCGTACTTTTAGAAGAGATTTATCTGATTTAAATAACTGTTCAGATAGAAATAAAAAAATATTCAATTACTAAAACCAGAAAACCGAATTTTGAAATGAGCTTGGCTTTTTACATCAAAAATACGATTGCGCAGTTGTGTAAAAAAAGCCAATTATTGGATTTCATTTTACCCGATCACCACAAATTTGCAAAATGATGAATTCACTTTTAGACACAGTCTATCACTGACATCGAAAACGCTTTATTTGTTCGACGCTCATCTAGGTTATAACATTCATCAAATACGAATCTCAAGTGCAACTCTACGAAATTTTGACGGCGGGCATGTGGTAATAATCAAAAAATTCTGGAAATTTGTGGCATCTTTGGCATTTTTTCAGCCAGGAATCAGAATCGATATTTTCCTTTTAAATCCACGAGATTCGGTAACATACCATTTCTTCAATTTCGACGGCTTCACAGACGTCACAAAGTTTGAACAAATATTTAATTTGTCAAATAATTATTTGATTTTCAGAAACGACGCTTCTGACGGGTTTGAAATGTTGGCTTTCATTAACAGCGATAACCTAATTTAACTAAAAATTTTTGAGGTTTATTTTAATATTTGCAGGCATTTCACAAGTGTGCCAGGCCAAAATTATTTGACAATTGCCCTAAAGATATACCAACGATTCGTACATAACTCAATTATTACCAGAATTGACTTTTCGTATGTAAGTCTTCAGTTGACACATTATACAATTTGAAACTTGTTTTGAAATTTAGTGCTCGCATTTTGTCGATAAAATTCCAAATATATATTGCGAAAAGACGACAATTCTCATGAACCAGTTGGTCCATCTCGAGAAGCTTTTTGAGAAACTGGAAAACAAGCATATTCAATATTTGGATATTACTTTACTCACTGATACCCTCATCACTAGAAAATATCCAGAAGTGAGACAGTTCTGTTGAAAACAATATATTAAAAAACATTTTTCAGATAATAAATGCTGTTTGTTTGACACTTTCCGCTAGAATCACATCCGAAGTATTCATGTCCTTGACTTCACGATGGGTGATCATTGAGAAAACTTGCGTCGACACTGATATGCTGCGGGCGTTTGTTGAGGGATATAGATCCATATTCCAATTTACTGAATGTTTTTATTATTTCAGAGATGGTCAAATGGTGAGGGCTCAAATGACTTTTTGTATCTTGTCGCTGCTGGATATGACATCGATCTTGACAGAGTTACAAAAGATATAAACAAGATGAAGTTCACTTCGGAAATGTATCAATTGTGAGTTTGTAAACAATAAATGAAATCGTTATAAGCTTTTGTCATTTCTCAGCATATCCGGAGAAGATTTCTTCCGAATGGACAAGTTCTTCCAAGCTGACATTTGTTTTCAAGTATTCAGCAACGTCAACTCAGATTCCGCAACATTGGGAATCTACCAAGGGAAGGTTTGTTTTGCTGTCACTGGCAAATTGATCGACATGGACTTCCAATTGGCACACCCAATAATTCCCGTTGAGTATTAAAATTTGATCGTTTCATTTCTTACTTTCAGGGATCTTATGATTATGTTATCAATTGTTTATCATTTTAAATAGGCGTAAATTTTATAATAACCCCACTTCCTGAAATTGATTGAATTACCCCCCCCCCACCCCCCACCTAGTATTTGTTGTTGTTTTTGTTGTATACTTTTGATCCAAGTTGAAAAAAAATAAAATACCACTGGCTTTCAAAATTGTAATTCAATAGAACAATCAGATACATAAGTTTCTGAGCATTAAAGAGTAGGAAATTGAATTCGAACCATAAGATATATGTACGTCGAACCATAAGATATATGTCCTTAGAAATTGTATATGGTTCTATATAGAAGGCAATATCATTAATGAAATTGGGCACAATAATAATGAGTATTTGTTTAATTTTAAATTTAATTTTATTCGTTTAGAATTTTACAACTGATAAAATTATTTTTTTTAGGAAAACAATACGAGAAAAGCTAAATACCAGTTTTGCTATTACCGTAATTAATCTATATTACTGTAATGCAATATGCAGCGTGTTTTTCGAATACCCTGAGACCACGCGATTTGGCTAAGTATTAAATGCATTTAACGTTAAAATAAGTCTTTATGGTGCAATTTTCTTTTTTTGGGATAGCTTACTAATAAAATTCAATTTTTTTACTATTTATAATTTTTAACCTTAAATTTTCAACTTAAAAAAATTTCAGAAAAATGGCTGTTACTGAATGCGAAAAAAATTGGTACAGCAACTATAAAGAGCTTATGCCTGTTCGACAAAAAATTGTAAGACTTTTAGAAAAACTGATTGTTGAAAATATGGTTTCTTTGTTTGAATTACAGAATGAATTGGCCTGCTCGACATATTATCATCGTTTCACAAAACAACTCGGATTGGCTACTGCTTTGATTGCTGAGATCAACCGAATGCACACCAGCTGCACTAAACTTAGACATGAAGATCACGCTCGCGCTCGTGTAAGTTGTATTTGAACAAGTTCATACCGCTAATTATGCTTTATTTCAGGAATTGGTTTTATTCTGTAAGGAAATTTTGGAAGAAGTTGAGGAGAAAGCAGCTGCTATTGGAATGAGCAGCACTATCATCTAAATTCTCAACCGATTTCTTTCATAATCATTTGTGTATGCTTAAAAATTTCAAAAGTATCTAACTACCACTTTTTTCCTGTTTTCCCCGTGTTTTAATATTGAAACCACTCGTGTACACTTTATTCGGTTAGCGTTATTGTTTGAACATGCATAAATTTGGTGTTTAACCAATAATTACGAAATATCTTATCGTTTAAAATGTCAAAAATCTGTTACAAAACTAAGACATTATTAAAATCAAATTTAAAAAAATGCGTCAATTCCGTTTTTTTCTACAAGAACTGGGTATCCACACTCATAGGTGGACACATCGAGTACACCTTCGTGTTTAACGATTTGTGTATTTTCATTTTAATTCCAATCAAATTTCTCGAAAAAAGCTAACGCAATTTTAAATCAAGTTTCTTGATGACAAATTTTGCCAGAAGGATATCAAACTTTTTATTTTCATTTGAATTTACTGCAAAAAACTACATATTTTGTGTTTTATGTTTATTTACTAATTTCAATAGAAAATCATACAGATAATATTTCCCAAAATACGTATAAAGATATGCATTAAAGGCGCATGCACATTATTTTTGTCTCAACAAGAGTGGGCGTGGTTTAAAGCGCAAGTGCACATCAAAGGGGGGGGGGGCACATCTTTTTTTGCAGTTTTTCTTTTTTTTCGTGTCCAATTCTTTTAATATTCCGTTCAAGCAATATTCTTTTTAAATTCCTTATTTACCTATTCAAGAATATATATTTTAATTTGTTTCAGCACAATGGATATGCCCTGTGATGAATTTTGCCATGTGGTTTTTAATGCTATCGACGCTAGCGCTGAGCATTTTGTAAGTAGATATATCGGAATAATTTCAAATAATAGTTATTTTCAGGACAGAACAATGGGAAGAGCCGAACAACACGGAATCGTTGACCTGTTTCAAGAGCTTGTAAGACACCACAATTTGATAGTCGTGAGATTGGAAGAGTTGTTGGACGGCTGCATAGAAGGAAATTGCAACCATTTCGAGGCTAGGGTGTGGTTTTTTTTGAATTTCTAAAATAGACTATTAATCAAAATAACAGCATTTGATTGTGCTGTAATTTCTGAATTTTATAGGATCTTGTCCTGCGTCTCGGTCGGAATTGCATTCATGCCACCAACATTCTCAACGACAACATCTTCCAGTTCGCCAATGCTGCATAAACTGATGACACCACACCAAAAAGAGCAGATTAATAATAAATTATCTGTTCTCACAAATTTCTTGTATTTTGTCCATAATACACTGCTTCACAAAAGTTTAGCCTCACACTATTATTCTGTGACGATGTCGACACCTGTAGGGCAGAAGCTCAGAACGCAAAAAAATATCGATAGTCCGAGCCGCTCATGATCTTTGCGACGAAGCACAGTTTCACTGGAGCGATCGAACTGATTGCTGCTCATACCATGACACCACATTCTTAGAAATTTCCACATTCTTAGAAAAGCCAGTAGCAGTCCGTTCTGTTGAACTTATTAACTAACTTCAATCAGTTTTCGCGATGTTTTTCGGTCAACATCTCAGCTTTACGCGTCTTGCGTCTCTTCACATGCTGGGAATTGCTTAAAACACGTCGCATCGTCTCTGAAGTCCTATTTGTGATTTGATATTGGTGCACGTAGTGAAGGTGTTTGATGATTTTCGGAGGATCATTGTTTTTCTTGGCTAGAAACAATGGTTGGGCATTCAGATCATGTTACAGTACAATTTTCTGATGGATTCTTTAGATAATCATTAATCAATTTTGGGCTACGCGAATTTCGAGCGATTTGTCGATTCGAAAAACCACGATCATGTTTGGCAAAAACTTGGCCTTGCTAAAACGACGAAAGTGGTTCACATGCTGTCATTACTTGAAACACACATAATTCTAGCCTAAAAAGTTTAAAAAAATTACAAATTCAAAAAAAAATAAAGCAAGAAAACGGTTAAAAGCATAAGTGAGGCTATACTTTTGTGAATCGCCAAAACGCAATTTTCGGAAAAAAAAAACAAATTTTGTTTAATGACTCAGTAAGTAAATTTAATATGGGATACTAAAAAGAACCCTTTTTGCCATATTTTAACAATACAAGCGTTTTTTGAAATTTCGTGAAAAATGTTATTTTTGAAAAAATATTGGTGAGGCTAAACTTTTGTGGAGCAGTGTAGTTAATTGTTTCCCACATTTGTTGATTTGCTGCCATATTTTTATACATAAGGTTCGAATAATGCGGGAAGTGGATACCTGCCACCCGTTATTATACCCCTTCATCCTTTGATTTCAATCTCATTATATTCCCCTATCACATTCTCAATATTTCTACAGAAATCATTAACCTGCCATTATTCCTTGTGTGATATGTTATAACAATAATTTTCAGGAGAGATTTAATAAATTTGGATTATATTAAATTTGTTGCAAAAACAAATTTTAAGATAGCACTTTTCTAAACAATCAAATTTCAGGTAATTAATTCTTTATTGAAGCTTCCTGACATTGTTAATAATCGTTTCTCAGGTTGTCACTTTCGCAAAAATTTTTGGCGCAGGGCGGACTCGAACCCGCATCCCCTATTGTACAGCAAAGGAGGGACCAAAAAAGCGAAACGTCCCTCTGTCATACACCTTTCATATTCGCTCATTTTTTGACTATCTACATGTTGGTGTGCCACGTTACCACCTCTTGGCCCGAGGACTCATCAATCATTGGATCGTGCAGGTGTAGATGTCCACGATCCACGCGATCAATGATCGCACATTTTAACCACTACACCACACCGGCACATTTGGCCAAATCTGAAATCGCATATAAGAATTCAACCATTTTCAGAGTGGTGGTGAGCTGCTGAGTGATGGTCTCTAACTGTTTTGTTTGTGAATGAAATCCGATAATCCAAACAAAGAAGATTGTCAAAATTTCATGCTTTACAACATAGACGAAACGTTTTAGTTTGTTTTTTTTGGCCCATGTTTTTTTTTACATGTTTTAAAAATGTATGTATGTTTCACAATAATAAGAGCGATTTTGGTGTAGAAAAAACAAAGAGAAAAAGAAAACAAAATTATTCTAGAAAGTGATCAGCTTTCCTGTGGAAAAAAGAAAAAATGTATAACAAGAAAACACAACGAAAACACTCTATTAGCAGGTTATTCGCAAAAAAATCATTAATCCCGCAGATTATTAAATTCAACCTTCACTTTTCAAGTGTGAAATTCAGCTGTATTTTTTACGCAGAAGCTAGCAATACCACGGTCCGAAATTTCTTTGAAAATCGCGATTACTCATTATTACGGCGTTTCTTTGATGCAAATGTGCTCCATCGTAACCAGGTGCAAATTGCTCGCCAGTTTTTTATAACAAAATCCAAGCTCCGCCCCCTATACATGGTGATCTGAAATCAGAGAGTGTGCTAACCTAAGAGAATCTATGGTGATTTGGCGTAGATTTGCAGTTCGTTACGACAAATGCGCTCTATTACAAGTTTTGCACCGACACCAGTAGCACTATAAAAGACCGGCGGATGCGCAATTTCGTCAGTTCTCGCAGCTCCTCGAGTTGCGGGAAGCCTGCATATCTCGCGGACTCGCCGTGCCCCGCATAACCTGCGGGCGCGGCGAGGTCATTCCTCATTCGAGCTTCTCGGATGTGCTATGTTGAAAGTGTCGGGGATTCTCGACTGGTGCGATTCCGTTAGTCAGTACTAACCCTACTGCAGTGTCGCGTCCAGGCCGACGTTAAACCCATATTCATGAGTAGACATATCACGTGAAGATTAGCGAAAAAGAGGAATGACAAAAGATCGATGCTGTCCGAGGCTTCGAGCGGAGCGACAAAGTGGTTTCGAAAAGTAAAGAAGTAGTCACAATCTACCAGAATAACTCGAATAATTACAGGTATTTTTGATCGAATGGATCTAATTGGAGGCGACGTCTCGAAGAAGAAACGAGGAAAGGAAAAGCGTCAAGTAGTTGGTATTTTTTTGGCCCAGGCTTTTTTATTTTTATTATTATTAATAATATTATTATTATTATTATTATTATTCACTTGCACCAGTCGTACCGACGTACGGCTTCCCCTTCTGTATCCCACCGATTTTCTCTCTATACAGTCGTACCACTTACGTCTGTACTCCTTCCCAGTCCTACCGTTTGGGACCATCTCTTTTTTTTTTTTGGGGAAAGCCGGCTTCCCCTTCCCTTTTTCTGCCACCAGTCGTACCACTTGCGACTGTCCCTTCTCTCTATCAGTCGACTGATTCCCCCTGCCGTACTACTTGCGGCTCTTCCCTCTATATCCCACCACTTGGGATTCTCGGTCCTACCGTTTGGGACCAACCATCTCTTTTTTTTTGGGAAAGTCGTACTACTTACGGTCATGCCAGTCATTCCACTAATGACTAGCTTCCCATTCCGTTTTGTTTATTATTTTACTTTTTTTTTAAATCTTAAGTCATGTATATTATATTAATAATGTCTTAAAGAATTTCGGATAAATTTGGAGCAAAGCTTTGAATTTACTCCTGGAAATTCATATATCTGTATATTTTTAATATAAGTCATGTACATATATAATATCAATAATGTCATGTATATAATATTAATAATGTCTTAAAGAATTTCGGATAAATTTGGAGCAAAGCTTTGAATTTACTCCTGGAATTTCATATATCTGTATATTTTTCATATAACTCATGTACATATATAATATTAATAATGTCTTAAAGAATTTCGGATAAATTTGGAGCAAAGCTTTGAATTTACTATTGGAAATTCATATATCTGTATATTTTTCATATAACTCATGTATATATATATATAATATTAATAATGTCTTAAAGAATTTCGGATAAATTTGGAGCAAAGCTTTGAATTTACTATTGGAAATTCATATATCTGTATATTTTTCATATAACTCATGTACATATATAATATTAATAATGTCTTAAAGAATTTCGGATAAATTTGGAGCAAAGCTTTGAATTTACTATTGGAAATTCATATATCTGTATATTTTTCATATAACTCATGTATATATATATATAATATTAATAATGTCTTAAAGAATTTCGGATAAATTTGGAGCAAAGCTTTGAATTTACTCCTGGAAATTCATATATCTGTATATTTTTCATATAACTCATGTATATATATATAATATTAATAATGTCTTAAAGAATTTCGGACAAATTTGGAGCAAAGCTTTGAATTTACTCCTGGAAATTCATATATCTGTATATTTTTCATATAACTCATGTATATATATAATATTAATAATGTCTTAAAGAATTTCGGATAAATTTGGAGCAAAGCTTTGAATTTACTCCTGGAAATTCATATATCTGTATATTTTTACTATAAGTCATGTACATATATAATATTAATAATGTCTTAAAGAATTTCGGATAAATTTGGAGCAAAGCTTTGAATTTACTCTTGGAAATTCATATATCTGTATATTTTTCATATAACTCATGTATATATATAATATTAATAATGTCTTAAAGAATTTCGGATAAATTTGGAGCAAAGCTTTGAATTTACTCCTGGAAATTCATATATCTGTATATTTTTAATATAAGTCATGTACATATATAATATTAATAATGTCTTAAAGAATTTCGGATAAATTTGGAGCAAAGCTTTGAATTTTCAGGAATTCAGATTACAATGACAAAAAGGGTCGATTGTAACTGTTCTCTGGTCATGAATTGTTTTTTTTTTTCTTTCAGTGGTAAGTTTGTTGAAATTTGGGATGAATGAAAGTCAAATATTTAATATTCAATGCTTGTTTCTTTCAACGCTGGGTTCCGTTTTTTGGTGTTTCAAAGTTTCATAATTATTCCTATATATCGATTAATGGAAATCAAAATTTTTCATTCAGTTCTTGCTGTTATTTGTATGAATTCAGATAAATTTGGGGCAAAACCTTCAAGAGAGCGTAAATGTTGTCAGTTGTAGGGAAAATTATATTCACTTCTGACTGAAAGATTAATCATAAAAACGTGTGTGTCTTAAGTGTCATGTTTTCCTGATTCTTAGGCTTTCAGACCATTTATTTATAGCCTAGACAGCTGAATCGGAACAAATGCAATAGAAATATGCTTTAAAAAAAAGTTAAGCTTATCAAATAGGGATGACTGAGGAACGTTTTGCCTTTTTGGCCCTCATTTAGCTCTATATTGAGAATTGCGTTATTAAATGGCAAAATTCTTAGATGATGTTGGAAAAACCGTAAATACATGGGGGCTAAAAATTTAAATAACCATTCTCAAAATGGTAAAGAATTTTCCTCATCTGTCATATAATTAAAAGTCTTTAGTAAGAATACTTTGGTTGTTCCAGTAGTTAAAATCTCAAACTTGGGTAATTAAACTTTTATTGAGAAAAGAATAGGTATAACAAAAAATAAATGGTAAAATATTTAAAAAAAAAAACAAAAAACGTGAGTGTGTGTATGTGTGTCATTGATGCACCCTTTTTTTTTATAAGGTGGGCTACGTGGCAATATTTGATTTTTTTTCTTAATTAAGTAAACACCGATGTCTGGTGCTGAGTGTGTGGGTGACGTTTATTAATTAAACGATAATGGTGGTTATTAGTGACAAATAACTCAAAACGATTTTGTTAACTGATTATTAACAAAATAATCGCAACATCAAAATTCTTGTCGAAATTCGCTTTTCAGTGAATTTCAATCAAATTAGGTTTATTCAACGTTGTGAAGCATCAAATTCTGACTATTTTTTTCTTTTATTTAATAATTTTTTATCTTATACCCAAGTTCGATCGAAATATTAGATGGGACCTTCAAAAATTTTATTTCATCTATTTGTTGTTAGAAATAAGCTTGTTTAAAGTATTTAATCGACTTGCACTAATTTTTTTTTGATAGAGTATCCTGTTGCGAACAGTTTAAGTACCGTAACATGTTACTTTTCCTTTATTTCATCGAAAAATTGAAGACGGACCATCAAAATTTCAATTTTCTTGTTAAATACTATAAATGTTTCTATATCATTCTTGAGTTTGTCATGTAGAAAAAATAATAAATAACTTGACAAAAAAAGAGTTTTTAGCTGATTTAGGATTTTTTTTGTCATATTTGGGTATACGGTAGGATTACTGTACTTTTTCCAACTGTACCGCTTAGCAATTTTGTTCGGTGTGCCAAAATTCAAATTCTCGACAAAATTTGAGCCAGAATGCAAAAAACCGCTTCAAAATTGCTTCATTTTGACCGATTTTAGACCATTTTAGGTTATGAAATTTAAAGGCGCATAGCATGTCCTGCAACGATCGGTGAGTCACAAAAACACGAAAAATCGTCTTCACTCATGCCTCTCCATAATCCCTGAAATTTTCATGCAAATCGGAGCATTTTGAAAGTTTGCCCATTTTTGATATTTCAGATTTTGAATTTTGAATTGCCGCTCTGCCGCATTTTCGCTACAAGAACCCAGAGCGTCCTTTAAGAGTGAGCTCAAGCCTCTATCACTTGGTTTCTTTGATTTTTACCTATTTTTTTAATTTCGTCGTTTCTCCTCGAAATCTTCATCGTTTTTCATCGTTTTTTTTCTATTCCACTCAAAATGTTGTGATCTTTCTTTATAAATTAACGGCAAACTTGTCTGATGTCAATTTCATTGCGAAAAATCAGTTTTGAAGCTTTAGGCCAAAAGCTTAAAAAATTCGTCATTAGATCAATTTTCAACAATTTTCAATTTTTTTTTTCATTAAAATTTTTAAATCAATGAGTTCTATCAATTTATTGTCCCTAAAACATTGTAGCCATGAGAGATTGCAACAAAAATTCATTTTTACTCTTAATTTTTCCAACAATATTTGAAAAATTCACAACTCCACGAAATTTTTGCCTTTTCTGACAATTTTTTTGCCATTCGATAGAGAATTTGAAGCTTTAATTTTAATTGTTATGCCGAGTAGCACAGCTAAAGAATTGAACCACTAAAAATCGATTTTCTCCTTGATTCACAAAATTTTCCGGTTTTTTCCATTTTTTTCGTAAAAATTTTTTTCATCTTGATTTTGAAATTATATTTTTATCAAATCGTCTCAATCTATTGAATGATTTCGCTTCCACTGTTCTCATTGTTATTTTCATTCTATTTTTCAGAGCCAATGTCTTCTCATCGCGTATTTTCTACATCACCCACTCGCTCTCAAATCAAGCGTCATCTCGCATGTGTAAGATTATTTAATAGCTGTTTTCGTCATAAAATGTTTATTTCAGCGCTTTTTTGCCAAAGTTGGCGAGGAAGAAGCCGAAAAGGTAAACACATTGTTTTTTGCAGTTAATAATTGACGACTTTCAGGATTTTGTGTATTTCACTTGGAATTTGTATGCTGCGGCATCAGTTGAAACACAACTATCATGTGGAAAACATCATCTTCCTATTCTTGGAGCCCTCGTTATCAATCACAAACGCGCCAAAGTGATGAGAATGCGATTGGTTTGCCGCCGATGCACCGAGGAAAACGACCCGCGTCCAGAAGACTGGCTTCCGCCGGACTTTCGAGAGTTTTTGTTTGTCCTAACACCAATAAAAACGGTATGTTTTCGACAATTTTCGAATTTTCATGATTTTTATGCGTTTCAGAAGCGCGATGAAAGAATTCTACAGAAAGTATGGACGGATTTGTCCGGAAAGAAATTGAATGGTTAGTCATTGCAACTGGGAAACTCGGCATTAACTCAACATTGCAGGCTGGAGCGATCTTCAACTGACGTCGCTGCGACGTGAAGCGTATTCACTGCGTAAAACTAGAATCATTGAGGACACTACTATTTTTTCTCCTTCTGGAGACGAAATAAAGCCTCGCGAGCCGCCAAAATTGCCAATTACCGTACGTTTTTGCATATTTTAAACATCGTTTTCAAATTAGTTCAAATTATATTCAATAGTTCGAATCAGATGATCTGTGGAAATTCTGAAAACCTCTGTTTGGAATTTCTGCAAAACAATTTTCACTTTTTTGGTCAAAATACACGATATCATTCAATCGACATTTCAAGACCATATATTTCAGAATGAAGAATTTTTTGCCAAGTATTATATCATGACAATGATTGACATCATCGATGAAAACGCCGAATATGCGATGCATCATAAAATCGCGAATTTTGGAGTTTTGCTAAATCGAAAGCCACGAATGGATATCGAAGAATTCGAAAAAGAAAACGCATTTGAAGTGCATGCATTCTGCGAGCAATGCCTTTTCGAAAAGAAGCTCTGCTCGACATATCCGTTTGAATTCCTAAGAGCAGTGGAGCATGGATTCGATGAGGAGGTGAGTACAGCACGAGTCGTTTTTAAGACAATTGTCAATATTTCAGAAGATCCCAATTCCGTTATACGAGTACTACAAAACGCTCATGCCGCCACCATCGCCGACTCGAACAATTTGCCGCGAGCCACCAATCGACTTTTGAATCGTTTTTAAAATGATCTATTACTGTATCATGTTGTTTTCTACGTCTTAGAGCGTGTTAATTTTGATTTTTGTCTCTTGTTGTTGCAACTAATAAATTTTGTTGTGAAGAAAAATTTGATCGTTTTTTCTTCTAGTATTCATTCAGAATCAATTACTTCTATTTAAAGCAAATTTTAACAAAATTTAGTTGAAATTGGTTTATTTATTTATTTTGTAGAAGATATGTTGATTTTCAACATAATAATCATTCATCTAGAATATTGATACCAATAATTTCATTTAAAAACGTTTTATTTTTTTTCGAAACAAGTGTGAGGTACGAACTATCAACCAGAACTACGTTCAAAACGACATATTGATAACGCAAAACAAGTGTTTCCTATTGGCTAGAGGTTACGGTATGGGCGGGGTCAATCTTTTTAGACCAATAACAGTAGATTTGGTGTTTTGGTTTCATGGCAGTTTGGGCGCTGACTGAGATGCACATTAATTGGATTATTAATAATTGTGCATTATAAAGTGCGTTTATGCTTTGTGCTTTATTTCCGCTTCAGAGCCTAATCAATGATTTAAATTGCTCGAATTTTCCATTCCTTTCGTAATTTTTGTTCTTTGGTTAATATGCCATAAAAATGTTTGCCTGTTTTATTCGTATTTCCATTCAAAAAATGAATCATTAGTTTGATCTTTTTTTTTAACACAATTTCAGCCTCTTTTATATCTAATGTCCTTATTATTCAGTTGCTTGTCATGACAATGAATCAGGACATTGTCTGTCGTAGATACTGGCATTTTTGTCTACGTGATGTTTTGGAATGTATTGAAGAATTAGTAAGGACAAATTATTCGGTAAATTTTAGCAAAACTTTTTGTCCATTTCAGCGTAATTTGTGGAGACCACCATTTGATGAACAAAGTAGAGCAGATTACTTTTACGTCAAAGTGCAAATTCTGGAAATTTTCAACATTCGTTTAGGATGTCAACTAGGTTATCATGATCATCGTGAACCATATGTAAGAAATTATGTGAGCCTAAAATTTGTAATCCTAATGTATTTATAGGAGCTCATAGTTCAAATTGACCGTCGATTTTTCAACTGGCACAATCGTCAACTATATGGTGGGTATTTTGTTGTATTTTTAAGTTTTTACATCAACTTTTTTTGATAATCTCTTCAATATTTTCGAAATAGGTTACTTTTCATGAAAATTTACATATTCAAGGACAATTTTTGACTATTTTAGGGGTTTCCGCAGATAATCATAAATACCATAAGTAATTATAAAAAAAAAAAACTGAGAGTTAATCATTTTATTATCATTAACTTGCTGTATATATATATATATATATATATATATATATATATATATATATATATATATATATATATATATATATATATAAAGGAGAAACTGAAAGTGGTTATTTCGTGATGAACCTCGTTCAAAATAGCAAAAAAATGAAATAAGGCTATTTTTTAATTGCGTATCCATATTGCAAACTTTGTTTGCAGGTAGAACGGACCCAAACAGTTCCCAAGGAGGACAAGCTCTTCAAAATCACGATCCCAACAATGGTCAAAATTCTCAACGCGCCGAAATACCAGGGTTTTTATTTATAATTAATTAAACGCCAAATCATGCAAGTTTTAAGTGCTTCAATGATGATCAGAGCAATTCGCCGCAATGAATCTATTTCAACACTCTCGTCTGCATCTATGGACAGGCCCGTTTCAAGACTTTCCTGTGATGAGAACTCATTCGCTCTCGCAGCGTAAGTTTAGGGAAATTTGAAAATGAAATAGAAATTTTTAAATATTAAAATAGAAATATTACAGAATTTCACCGATGGGCTCTGTTGAATCAATCAATGATAATGATGACACCAACGCGTTCAATTAATTCAAACAATTAATAGGAATCAGTTTTCAACAATTCCATTATGTCCTCCATATATTGGTGAGATTTGCTTTTTTGTTTTTTCGTTGTTACAAAGTCTTACGCTGAACATGCTTAGATCATTTTGCGCGCTAGCAAGTAGTGCTACAGTTTAACAAATTCGATGTTAACTTCTTCTTAGTTTTTCATTTTTTGTTCAAAATTTAATATATAATTTATTGTAGATTTCTCTTGGTGTTTATTCATTCGCATAAGACTTCCCAAAAATTGTGAAATCGTTTCCCTGTGCATTTTGTTTGTTCTACTCTGAGGACCTACAACAATTCTGTTGTTTTTTCCTGATTTGTATTCCAATTCGCGCATTTATTAGTAACCTTGTTATTTGTTAACTTTTTTAAGAATTTGTTAACATTTTTGGCTGCTTCTTTATTTTTAATTTCCGCCGTCTGACGGCCACAATTTTCTAAATCCCAATTTGTTTTACAGCTCACCAGTGTGTAAGTTATTTTTCTACCCGATTTGATGTGTTTGATTTATCCGTTCAGCTATAGATTTAAACTGATGAAGCATGCTCAAAAAGAACAAAACCAAAAATTATTGTCGCAATCGACGAATAAATCATTATTTAATATTTTTTGTTGAAATATTCTAGTTGACATACTTTTCACGTTGAAAAATTGTTATTTAAAAAGCTGAATTGGACAAAGTAAAATTTTCTAATAAAAAAATGGATTGTTCCAAAATGAACACATTTTTCGATGTATTAAGATACTGATCTTTACTTGGTACGGGAATGCAAATGACTTCTGCTTTGAAGGTTTTTGATTTCTGAAATTATTGTTTTCTTGACAAAAATTTTGTAAGAACTCTGAAAAAGTTTTTGCTGCTAAGTTTGTTTTTCATATCGTTATATGTATCCAAAGCTGTTCTATTGAAAGATTTATTTAACTTCAAAAGCCATAAAAGACAAAAAGCTTAAAATCATTTCTCACATAAAATTTATTGTTATACTATGATAAGAATTAATTGTTTTATTTTTAACGGTTAGAGAGTGGCTGATGCAGGGTTCAATATAATCAAGGACAGAACCGATGTTATTATGGTCTACTCTTCTAACGATTGTCTGCTCTCTGAGACAGCCGGATTCGCTTCGCGGAAGGAGATCATCGCAAGAACCGTGGTAACGAAATATGTCTCTCAATTTTTAACGATTAGCAATTAATATTCAAAAGAATGTGTGGGAAATGTTAGTTTCATTGCAAAATGTTGGAAGTGTTTTAAACTGCATGCATTTTGTTTCAAAAACTTAAGAAAGTGTAAAGCAAACGAAACGTTTTAATGTCAAAAATTGCTCGAGAATTTTTCCTCAAAGGACACATCGGCCTTTTTCACTTTAATGCATTTGAACGGCTAAAATATTAAATTAAAATAATAAAAACTTTTTTTCAGTCCCTACAATCTTCGCGATTCATTAATTAATGCGTCTGTTTTGAAAAAGCGTGGCACGGCTTAGCTTATCGTAAATATTTATTATTTTTAATATTATTATTGTTTTCAATAATTATCACATAAAAACATAGAATTGCCATTTTGAGAGTCTGTGTAAAATCGAGAAGGTTCAAGACAACGAGAGAGAAAGAGAGCGTGTGGAAGAAGGAGAGACAGATGTCTCGGCAGCGCCAAACCGTTCCGCGCAAAACAGGGCATCAAAAATTTTGAGGTATCAAAAAATCACGTGGAAGTAATGCCGGCATAAATAATTTCATGCCTCGCATATCGAACCCCGCATTTTGGTTGATACCATTATACTTCAGCGTAAAATAGTTTCTGACTGATCAATTTCTAAAAACACACAAGGGGAAGGCCTCCCATGAGACGGTCGGACTCGCATCCGAATGAGATCACTACAAGAACAGCTGATGGAGCCGTAATCCTACCTCGTTCCAGGCAAGCCAAGGACATTCGCGCATCAACAGGCGAAGGACAAACCGACAAACTGACTATCTGAACTGTACCATTCCTTTGTTTAGCTTTTTCTCTAATGTATCCAAAAAATCGATATTAACATATTTTTTATGGGAGCTTATTCGATATATAAATATTATTGTTTTTATCAGATATGTGAAAAACAATAACAAAAAGGACCGTATCAAGGCACCACCCACTTAATTATGCTAGATGGCTGCGTAAAATATCATTCATACACTGTCTACTCCGGCAACATGAAGCTCCCCGTCATTCTTCTTTTCCTCGTCGTCTCCAGCCTCTGCTCCAACAGTAAGCCATACGAACCATTTCAAAATATCCACTTTATTATATCCAATATCCAGTTTATTATATCCCAATATCCACTTTATTTTAGCGGAGGATCCAGAATTTGACTTTGATATCGACGCCTTCTTTGGATATGATGCCTCTCAGAACACGACGACTACTGACCCGACGACTACTGAACCGACGACTACTGGACCGACGACTCCTAAACCGATCATAACAACGACAGAGGTGTCGACTTTTGAAATTGACGCCACTATTGTAATTTATGTAATTACCCTTTTATCGGCTCTGTTTCTCTTTCTCATGTTTCTTTTTAATATGTGCCAGCTCTTTTTAGAATAAATTGGTTCTTATGCTTTTGGTTTCGCATTGCAATTTTTTCAGAAATATACCGAGTCGCGACTGTTTTCCTACAAAATTTAAAAGGGAAGAGTATTTGGCATTTGAACGAACAAGATAAAATCATGGAAACCTAAATATTCAAAGTTCCTTTAATTTTCCTATAGGATTTTCTCGGCCTGATCGATCGGGTATTGCGAAAACTGATAGTGCTAGGTTTCCATTATCGCACTTCTAATTGGGAAATGTGACAAAGCATGTAAACAAGTGAAGGTAAAGCTGATATGTGTGAAGACTTCGTGCTTCTTCACCTGAGATGTGCTAAGCGTGTAGGTAGACGTGCAAAAAATGGGCGGATGGGAAAACGTTGAATGGGTGCAAAAAATTGGGTATAAATAGCACGGTTTAATGACCATTTCCGACATCATTCTGTGTTTTCTTTTTTCGGTCTGCTATGCCAAACCAATTACTCAGTATCTATGGCTTATGTCTCTTTTCTCTGCTATCTTAACATTTCATTTACAGGCAAAATATGAATTCTCTTGAGCGCCTTGAGCAATTCGGCGAAAACTTTTCTTATGAAGAGTGGGCTTGGTTCTCCATCAATTGCATCCTGCTCGAATATGCTGGCATTCAATCTCGTTCGAACGAATCCGAGTTGGATGAAGTGGAAGAAGCATGTATGACGGCACTGTACCGAACGGTAGTGGCAATGGAGCCAGCAGTTTTATTCGACCCAAACGAAGTCGAATGGAACCTGAATACATTCTTCATGTTGGAGACCGAAATTCGAGACATGAACGAAGACGAGCAGAATCACAAAAGGGCGGAGATCCTTATAGAAACCATGAAGAAGTTCCGCGAATCGAGAGAAGACGATGAAGGATTCGAATCAGAAGAGGAAATGGACGAAGATGAATTTCAAGATGGGGAAATGGTCCGCTGGGAAAGCGACGACGAGGAGGATGAATAGGTATGACTTGATACTCTTCCATATTGATTCTCATTCAAAACATTTTAGATTCATCAAACCCAATGTCTTCGTGCACACCTGTTCTATTAGCTACGGTCATAAGGTAACAAAGACACTACAACTGAAAATCTTCAACAACAACTACCACAACTGTGTCAAAAGTTTTAATTGTATCAATTTTAAATTGCTATTGCTTCGTCATTCTTCAATAATCTTTATTTTTATCATTGTATTTTTTATTCACTATTTTTTTTGAATTTTCATAAACGAATAAATTATTAATAATTTGAAGTCGTGCATAAAAAATTAATTGTCCAGACATAATTACCTTTTCAAAATGATTTTTTAAAAACCGAAAAACTATAGAAATATGTTTTTTGCGCATAAATGATTCGGAAATATATTGATAAAAACAGTTCATGAAAAGTGTAATCTACAAAATGCTGTCGTGTTTTTCGGTCACTCTGGCGTCATTTTAGATCTAATTATTTTTATTTTGAAAAAGTATTTGATATTAATTGAATTTGGCTATTTAGTGGCAAATTTAACGATATTATTGAGAAAACACACTTCTGAGACAGACATTAAAAAAAAATTGGGTTTTTTAGTTTCATAAATGTTTTGAGAAAAAATATTGTCAAAGATTGCTCGAATATTTATTCTGACAGGACAACTTGGTTTTGTTCAATTTCATTCATTTGAACGGCTGAAATATTAAAAAATATTGAAATAAAGGTGTATTGCACAATATAGGAGATGGATCAAACTACACAAGCAAAATGAAGACGACGTTGTAAGAGATTGTTATCAAGCAGCGTTAGAAGAGAGTTGAGCAAGCGCAATATTGATCCTAACGCGCTCACATTCCTAAATATAGACCGAAAATAATAAATGTATCCCTTTTATTTAGTTTTTCAGCCGTTCAACTGGATTACATTGAAAAACGCATATTTTTATCCTCTTTTTGCGGCAATGCTAGTACTATTCCTTCATTGACTTCTTTCGATTTGCGAATTGTTTTATTATCTCTATTAGAATCACAGTACATTTGCAATTTTGCCTGTCTTTATCCTAGTCTCCAATGTTGAACTTCGGTTTCATATTAACTTGTATTTCACTAATTTCCAATTTGGCTGCAGTTTTAATGTGTTCCGGCATACTTAACCGATACATTCCAAATAATCATAGTACAGTAGTCGTCTTCGGTTCATAATTTTATCTTGTTCGTTCAAATGCCAAATTCCCTCCCCTTTTAAATTTTGTAGGAAAACAGTCGCGACTCGATATATTTCTGAAAAAATTGCAATGCGAAACCAAAAGCATAAGAACCAATTTATTCTAAAAAGAGCTGGCACATATTAAAAAGAAACATGAGAAGGAAAAACAGAGCCGATAAAAGGGTAATTACATAAATTACAATAGTGGCGTCAATTTCAAAAGTCGACACCTCTGTCGTTGTTATGATCGGTTTAGGAGTCGTCGGTCCAGTAGTCGTCGGTTCAGTAGTCGTCGGGTCAGTAGTCGTCGTGTTCTGAGAGGCATCATATCCAAAGAAGGCGTCGATATCAAAGTCAAATTCTGGATCCTCCGCTAAAATAAAGTGGATATTGGGATATAATAAACTGGATATTGGATATAATAAAGTGGATATTTTGAAATGGTTCGTATGGCTTACTGTTGGAGCAGAGGCTGGAGACGACGAGGAAAAGAAGAATGACGGGGAGCTTCATGTTGCCGGAGTAGACAGTGTATGAATGATATTTTACGTAGCCATCTAGCATAATTAAGTGGGTGGTGCCTTGATACGGTCCTTTTTGTTATTGTTTTTCACATATCTGATAAAAACAATAATATTTATATATCGAATAAGCTCCCATAAAAATATGTTAATATCGATTTTTTGGATACATTAGAGAAAAAACAAATATTTTGTACAGTAAAATAGATACCGTAGATAATTTTTGTTGCTTTTTTTTTAATATTTTAGCCGTTCAAATGCATTAAAGTGAAAAAGGCCGATGTGTCTTTTGAGGAAAAATTCTCGAGCAATTTTTGACAATAAAACGTTTCGTTTGCTTTACACTTTCTTAAGTTTTTGAAACAAAATGCATGCAGTTTAAAACACTTCCAACATTTTGCAATGAAACTAACATTTCCCACACATTCTTTTGAATATTAATTGCTAATTGTCAAATCCGGGACGATTTGACCTGAAAAAGGGGAAATAAATGGAAAATATAGAGGTAAAAATGGGAAAAAGAGAGGAGAAATAATTTCGAAAAAGTGGCCGTAAATCTACACTGTGCGATGGGGCGCGGTTGCAACCCTAGTGAATAGACGCAGACGGTGAGAATCTATAAGGTCCGCCGCGACGCCAGGAAGTAGGATTTTGGGAGTAAACAAATGAAAAATTTTGGCCTAAATTAGTCAGTTTTTCGCTCTGTTTTGACCGCGAGCGGTCGGTTTTTTTGGCTGTTCTCTTCTGAATGTTTTGTTGAAGCCTCTCACCATGCTCGGGGAGCATGTCGGTGGCCCGGGGGGCCTGTACCGACGGAGGCAGATGAATCTTGATCGGCCGAGGGCCGCGTCAAGATGAATCTTGAAGGCTTGAGCAGTCTGGGACTGTTCAAGCCTAGAATTTGCGGATTGAGCAGTCTTGGACTGCTTAAATGAAGCCTTAGCCTCCCGAGAGGTCGACTTGGTACTCTAGGGTTGCCTTAGAGAGGGAAATGCCCGTGCGAGAAGCTCGGGTGGGTTAATGATGATGCCCAGAGCCTAGCTACGGCGATGAAGGCCCAGGGATCTGAAACCTCTTTCTGCCCACCAAAGAAGGTCCCGAGAGGGACGGGGTTTTGGCATGATGGACTATCTTTCGGTGCCTTTTTAGAAGTACTGAAGGGTGGAGAAGTGCCAAAATTTACATGGTGCATCGACCGGTGGGTACTTGAAAGAGATAGGATCCTGATGGCGACAACCAGGTCATATTTCTCGTAATTACCGTGCGCTTTCTTCGACCGTTAGAACTTGGGAAGTTAATTGGTTGAATTTCAGCGGCGGACATGAGCGGCAAAGACACCGTCTATGACGCGGTGCTGAAAGCACTGGTCAGCGATGCGCCGAAGGACGATGAGTTCTATTGGCGGCTCGGCAAGACAGTGGCGGACTTGGTGAAGGAAGAGCGCCGAGAAGCGCCTGCCGAATGCGATCATCGCCTGTCGACGGCGATGATAGAACGAGTCGAGTGGGCCGTCGCGAAGGATGAAGACCAGGCGGTGGCCAACAAGGACAGAAGGGAGAGGACATGCACCTTCTGTCATTCGAGGACACACGGCACATGGCGATGCAATGTGGTGGTGTTCCAGTGCCAGCGTCAGAAGGCGGCGGATCGGATAGGCGTATGCTTACGCTGCGGAAGATATCACCACACGGTGACGGAATGCGGTGATAGGCCGGTGACCTGCCGCATCTGTGGAGGGCCGCACGTGCACTTCTGGCACGCACACCCCGCGGCGGAAAGATTGGCGCATTGCAACGGATAATTGATTGTTTTTTGATTTAAGTCATAAAGACATGTTGATGATTAACAGTGTTGAATGTTGTTCAATTTATGACAGGAGTGTTATTCTCCGGAATTATCTGTGATTCTGATTAATTGTCTAATGGTGAACATGGTTCAGGTTCAGGTGCAATGACTCCGAAGAGCAAACGAGGCTCGAAGAGAGCGTCGAAGAATGGCGATGAGACTGAGCCGATCGACGACCTTCCCACTGAAGGCGATCAGTCAGCGATAGCTGGAAGGGTCGAGGACTCGACGGCGGCACCGGACGAGTGTGGCCCGGTTTCGGCCGACGTAGCTACCCAAGCGGACTTGGGAAGCCCTCCGGCGAAGAAGACGCGGTTCGGAGTCGATCGGGGGCTCACGCGAGAGGAGCTCGAGCACATGATCGCGGAGATCGAGAGTAGATCGGACAAGAAGTGGCACCAGAGGACGATGAGGTATGGGTTACCGTAAGATTGCCTTTACTTGATGAATGATATTCAGAGCCCTTGAAGCGACGGTTCAAGGCGAGTCGGCCATGCAGGCCACGATCGCGTCGTGGAGCAAGACGCTCCAGAACGACGTCGGACGGGTGGCGACGGACACCAGCCACATTCGGACCAAAACGGTGGAGCTGGCAATGGAGGTGGCGGAGATGCGGCGCGCCTTGGGAAGGGAGAAGCAGGCTCATCAGGACGTGCTGTTGATGCTTCAACAGCTACGCGAAGAGCATGTTACTCTTAACAAGCAACTGGCGGCAGTACTCGCGAGCGCGACTTCGGAACCGAAGGTGACGATCGGCGGCGCCGGAAAGCCGGAGAAGGTTATCACCTGCACGCTGTGCGCCGAGGACCACAAGGAGGAGCTTTGCCAGAAATTCCCGACGGCGACGGACCGGCTGCTCAAGGCCATCGAGGCGGAGCTGTGTCTGAAGTGTGCCAGGCACTCAGCTCGAGTTAAGTGCCGCCACCAGCGGTTGAAGTGCCCGAGGTGTGGCTCGGAAGCCCACTTGCAGGTTTTCTGCAAGAAGGCCTGAGCCGGCAAGGGAAGAGGGATGTGATCCCTATTGATAAATTTTGTTATTTTTTTGTCAGATAAATGTTATTAATAGCAATGTGTTATTGATTCGATTGAACTTGAAAGGGAACGACGAGGTCGTTGACGAACCGGATAAGAAGGGGCTGACTCTCATCGTTCAGACGGGGGGTGAACAACTGACGAACGACAATTGGATGTTAATCTTGAAACTCTGGGTGGAGCTGAGACCACCATAAGTCGGGGACGGTACAGTTGGGTATTAATAGCCCCAACTGCCCCAGACTCTGGCTGATAGCAGGTGCAAGGTTCCGGGTCACGGCGGAACCCGACGTGGCAGCGAGGTGGCCTGATCAACCGCCACGCAGTCGTGATAAGACGCGGTAATCTCGATAGATTTCCGGCACAGGCACGCGGTCTGGAAGCTGACCAATCTCTAATGACATGGTTAGATAGACGAGGTCGGGGACCAGCGCGGAAATTCAGCCCGTGACCGACCAGGTCCGGTCGTTATGGCATGGGGAGGGGGACCACCCATTCCAACCTCGGATTTCCGAGGATCTCAGTATTGTAACGGAGGCATCGAAATCGTATAAGGCCTGCCAGTTTGTAGTAAATGCTTTTGTCGTGTATAGTCGTTCGTCTCGTATCGTTATTCGCCACGTCTCAGAGATAACGGAATTATTACTGTATCAAACAGTGAATACGACGATGACAACCCAGGTCAAACCCTTAATCCAAAAACTGAAAACCCAGGTGACTAGACGAGTCTCGGCGGCGGTAAAGCGGCTGGGACGGCGGCTGCTCACCTGGACAACCTCGAAGGAAACGTTCCCTCGTTGGAAGAACTCCGAACGGCTAGGCCGATTTGGACTACGCTCAAGAAGGCCTTGGAGGACTTGGTCCGACTGGCCGAGCTGGAAACGGCGGCCATTGGCGAGTTAACCGAGGCGAAAGTGCCAGAGAAGGCTCTTCTTGATGGGCTCCGAGCGGTGGAGGAGCATAAACGGCACCGCGGAGTGCGACGAGTCTGGTTAGAGACTGTCAGGTGCTCGAAAAGGTTCGAGGCGACGGGAGCACACTATGGCAGCGGTTCGAGAGCGATTCTGGATCACGGGTCTACGACGACTGGTAGTTCAAACGCTACGATCGTGCGTAGTTTGTCAAAAGATGAACGGACGACCGTTCCGATACCCGGAGTTGCCAGCGCTTCCGAAATGCCGAGTGACTAGGGCTCGCCCGTTCGAACGAATTGGGATAGACTATTTCGGGCCTCTCACACTGAAGAGATCTCAGACGGGAGGAGTGGCGTGATCAGGACGGTCTCTATAAGGTGCAAGGGTCGTACAACCTTGCGGCCCGTGAATCAACTCGTTCCCCTCGAAGTGGATGCGGATGAGCTAGTACGAGACGAGGATCTCGACAAGAACCAAAACCCGACGGCGGAGCCTCGGCCACGGTATGATCTACGGACTCGGAGGCCGTAGATCACCGCCGGCGGGCGGGAAATCATCTCACAGGGAGATGATACGCCCCGGGGGGGAGTGTCAAATCCGGGACGATTTGACCTGAAAAAGGGGAAATAAATGGAAAATATAGAGGTAAAAATGGGAAAAATAGAGGAGAAATAATTTCGAAAAAGTGGCCGTAAATCTACACTGTGCGATGGGGCGCGGTTGCAACCCTAGTGAATAGACGCAGACGGTGAGAGTCTATAGGGCGTGATGGGTGATTTTCCCACGGGTTCCCGCCGCGACGCCAGGAAGTAGGATTTTGGGAGTAAACAAATGAAAAATTTTGGCCTAAATTAGTCAGTTTTTCGCTCTGTTTTGACCGCGAGCGGTCGGTTTTTTTGGCTGTTCTCTTCTGAATGTTTTGTGGAAGCCTCTCACCATGCTCGGGGAGCATGTCGGTGGCCCGGGGGGCCTGTACCGACGGAGGCAGATGAATCTTGATCGGCCGAGGGCCGCGTCAAGATGAATCTTGAAGGCTTGAGCAGTCTGGGACTGTTCAAGCCTAGAATTTGCGGATTGAGCAGTCTTGGACTGCTTAAATGAAGCCTTAGCCTCCCGAGAGGTCGACTTGGTACTCTAGGGTTGCCTTAGAGAGGGAAATGCCCGTGCGAGAAGCTCGGGTGGGTTAATTATGATGCCCAGAGCCTAGCTACGGCGATGAAGGCCCAGGGATCTGAAACCTCTTTCTGCCCACCAAAGAAGGTCCCGAGAGGGACGGGGTTTTGGCATGATGGACTATCTTTCGGTGCCTTTTTAGAAGTACTGAAGGGTGGAGAAGTGCCAAAATTTACACTAATCGTTAAAAAAATAAGCATTAAATTAAAACTTTTTTTGTAAACTGTGATAATTAATGTTATATGGAAGAGAGTATGAGAGACATATTTCATTACCATGACCAACGATGAACGATTGGTGTTACGGCCATCAAAATTCCACTCATCGTCGATGCCCTCTTCTCTCTTCCCCCTGCTGGTCGCACATACATTCGTGTTAGTTTTCTACGACAAGTCGACATTATGAGTGGTCGCCGATTTTTCCGTGTGCGCTTGTTCAATCAATATTTTAATACAATGATGCTATTATCTGCTATTCACACTCTCTTGAGCAATGGAGCAGCGAAAGTATTTTGTAGACTCCTATCCTTTAGCCAAGGTTGCACTTAGCAAAATATATCTAGCGCAAGCTTGGTTACAGGATAGGATTAAACCAGTAGTTTTTTTACAGTAAGTTTATTTTATAGAATTTCAATTATTACAATAATTATTTAAAAAAGATAATTCCTAGCAGTGCTTTCAAAAATATTATGAAATTTGTTAACAACGGCGTTGACTCATCACCGTAGTATTTTTTATAGTTGTAAAACATATTTTTATATGAAAAAAGCTCTGCGAATCACGAAGAAAAGTTATGTGATATGCCGTTTTGTTTGACCCTGTCACAAGCTTCACTGAAATGAGCTTTGAATTTACCCACTTCAATCATTATTGCGTAATTTAGCAATATTACTAATAGTTTTTGTCTCCTGTCTCGCGCTGTGCGGAATAGTCATATAAATAACAAAAAAAATTTTTTGACACAACTTTCTTGTCATCGCTTGATCAATTTCAAGTTGTAAAGCATCAAATGTTGACTTTTTTCTTTTTTGGATTATCTGATTTGATTCAGAAACAAAACTCTTGAAAGCCATCACCACCACTCTGAAAGTCCTCGAATTCTTATATGCGATTTAAGCCTTGGCGAAATGTGCCGGTGTAACGTGGCACACCAACATGTACATAGTCAAAAGATGAGAAAATATGAAAGGTGGATGACTGAGGGACCTTTTGCTTTTTTGTTCCCTACTTTGCTGTATGCTAAGAAATGCGCGTTTGAAGGGGTAAAGAATTAGTTACCTGAAATTTGTTTGTTTTGTTGAGAAAACTGCTTCCTTAAATTTTGTTTTTGCACAATTTTAATCCAACACAGGTTTATTATGTCCACCTTGAAAATGATTAGAATAATTGTAACTGGGAAACAATAACTCACACAAAGGTTGATACTAGGTTAATGATTTCTGTAGAACCGTTGAGAATGTGATAGGGGAATATAATGAGAATGAAACCAAAGGGTGAAGGGGTATAATAACGGGTGGCAGGTATCCACTTCCCGCATTATTGGAACCTTATGTACAAAAATATGGCAACAAATCAACAAATGAGGAAAACCATTAACTATTATGTACAAAATACAAGAATTTAGTAGAAACAGATAATTTATTATTAATCTGCTCTTTTTGGTGTGGTGTCATCCGTTTATGCAGCATTGGCAAACTGGATGACATTATTGCCAAGAATGTTGGTGGCATGAATGCAAATCCGACCAAGACGCAGGACAAGAGCCTATAATATTTAGAAATTAAAACACAATCAAATGCTGTTTTGATTAATAGTCTATTTTAGAAATTCAAAAAAAAACCACACCCGAGCCTCCAAATGGTTGCAACTCCCTTCTATGCAGCCGTCCATCAACTCTTCCAATCTCACGACAATCAAATTGTAGTGTCTTACAAGCTCTTGAAACAGATCAACGATTCCGTGTTCTTCGGCTCTTCCCATTGTTCTGTCCTGAAAATAACTATTATTTAAAATTATTCCGATATGTCTACTTACAAAATGCTCAGCGCTAGCGTCGATAGCATTAAAAACCACTTGGCAAAATTCATCACAGGGCATATCCATTGTGCTGAAACAAATTAAAATATATATTCTTGAAAAGATGAAAAAGGAAAATAGATTCAAAAAGAAAATGGTAACGGAATATGAGAAGAATTGGACACGAAAAAACTCAGAAAAAAAGAAAGAAACCGCATGACCAGTGCCACGCCCCCTTGGTGGACGTTGGGATTCAAGCCACGCCCCCCCCCCGTATCATTTGGCGAAAAGAAAATATGCATGTGCCTATAATGCATACTCTTAAAATGCTATTTGGGATGTATGATTTGAATGAATTCAAGAAGTCAATTGAGAAAAAATACATGCTTAAAATACAAATGTTAACAATACGATTAAAATAAAATTTCTTTTCATAATAACAAAAAGGGGAATCTAATGTGAGATATATATGACCACGCTTCCAAACGATAAAATAATACATGCGTCTTTAATTCTTGTCCTTTTTACTTGTGACATTTATTACTCAGTCAACAGAGGAAAAACCACTTATTGGTAAAAATTATGGGATTTCGTTGTTTCGTACATTGTTCAATATTGGATCGGTAGTCGGAAAACACAAAAAAATCAATGTAACTGATTTTTTTGTTTTCATTCCGCCATGAATTGAAAAAAATCAGATGTTGTCATTTTTGGAAATTTTTTTCCAAACTGTTATTTATTTCATAAAATCGAAGTAATTGAAAGCATTGAACTGGATCTTCTGGAAAATATTTAAAAAAAAACAATTCGGTATACAACAAAATTAAAAATACTAAAAATAATTAAAGAAAATGCATTGAAGTGCATACCTGACAACATTTAACAAGTGAATAATTGAAAACCCCCTTTTTGAAACATAAGTGAATATAAATCAGACAAAAAATCAGAACAGTCATTTACTACAAAATGTAGTAGTCCTATAATATCATAAATTTTACAACTGTTATTAAATTCATAATCGAATTCTCATGAAGACACTTGCACATTAAATGTAGAAAATTTAAAGTTTACTTAGAAAGAGTTGTCAGCTCATAGCAAGAATCAGACTAGTGTTTATAATCGTTGCCAACTTCCGAATCCTCAACAGTGTCAACGCGTTCTTCAATGGCCTCCGTGTCTTCAAGCTCGCCTCCTTCGGATTCCTCTTCTTCCTCATCTTCGTCGTGCTCATCCTCTTCATTACTTTCATCGTTATCAACGATTTCAATGTGTAAGTCATTAATACCAGGAAGCCTGACGACTTCTTCAAGATTTTGAGCATAAAGCCTCCAATCATTAAATGCTCTATTGATTGAAACATAAATTTCCTACAATAAAATTGATTTATTTTTTTTTGCATTTTCAACTTGCAATAGCTTCCTGATGATTGTGATGTTGCTCCACCATACATTCCACTCTCTTGTAGAACATTTCTTGAACTTCGTTATTGAACTCATTGAACAAGGATACTGTCATTTCATTTTCAGCAAAAATTAGTTGTGTCTGAAAGTGACTATGCGTAGTAACATTTTCTCAGATCTTCAAAATACCCGCTGAAGAACAAATGGTCGTAGGGCAGCGAAAACACTCTTCCAGAAGTTGCGACAATCCGAAACATTCAATTGGAGGTCTACGATTCTTCCTTCATTATCCAGAATTCTTGTCGGAAATTGAATTGCAGTTTTGGCAAGAATGAGATATCCTCGTAATTGCGGCACAATATCCTGAAATGGTATTACAATGCATTTTCCAAATAATTATTTTCAGTTTGAAAAATAATGGAGATGAAGTCGGTGAATTTAATATGATCATGACACATTGTGTTATATTGTAAGTATTCTATTTTCATTTCCAATACCAAATTAACTAGGCCCAGATGCATATTTCAGAATTTTCAATAATTCCCTAAAAGCTTACTTCGATATCGTGAGTGTGCACAGTGGAATTCCGGCATTTCCCAAGAGTTCGCCGGATCCATTGAAATAATTCATTGAATTTGGCGGCGTATTCTAGGAACTGTTCGTTTCTGAAATTGATATCAGTCAGGTTTTCCTGAAATAAATTATTGAAAATTGGAGAATTTTTGATAAATCAACCAATTCTTCGTGATAGTTTTTGACGATTTGCGCAACTTCGGGTAGGATTCCTTTGCACCAATGACGATACATTGTTGACGCTGCAAGATTAAAGAATACCAGAAATACAACGATTCTTGCGTTGAATGAGTATTTAATGCACAGAAAATAAGTGTATGAATTAAAGGCACATGCAATATTTCGACTGTCTTGCGCGACAAGACCCAGGGGGCGTGGCCTAGCACTTGTAGGGTACACCTTTGCAACTTTTTCAGCCCCTTTTTTCGATTTCACTTTTTCTTATATTCCAGTCTAACATCGTTTTCTTGTTTTTTTTTCACCGTTTCAGATTAATTTTTTCTCAATGAATTCGTATGTTCAAAATTTTAAACAATTTTTTGTATTTTTGAATTTTTGCAAATTTCGATGAAGGCCTTTCGAACAGTTTTTTCTGGGTTCTTTTAAAAATTTTGTTTTGAAACGTGATGCCTAAAATTCCATTAATGCATAATTTTTTTGCATATCCTGTTATCTATTATCACACTAATGTTCTAGTATTTTCCTATTGAACTATTAAACTAAATTTATATAAAATTCGTTTGACATATTTTAAAAGATTATATGTCTTCAAAATTCGCCAAAAAAAAACTGGGAGGGGCGTGGCCTAAATCGCACATTGGGTACACACAAATACAGTACACATTCCGCACACAAATACAACACACACTAATGTATAATCTTAACACCACTACAATTTTTTATTTTCTCTTTAAACGTATTTATCAATAATTGTTTTTACAAAAATCAAGGGGTATTCATTAAAGGTGCATGCATTATTTTTTTTTGGTCGCAACAAGACCCGGAGGGAGGGGGCGTGGCCTAAGTTGCACACATCAAGGGGGCGTGGCACCTGTCACGCATGGTACATCTTTCATTTTTTCCGAGTTCATTAGTTTCCCTACTCTTATCTAGCAATCGTTTCTTCTTTTTGCTCGTTATCTCTACAAATTTAAATATACTATTCCTGCTTCAGCATAGTGTTAATTTTTAATGACGGATATCACACTACTTTACAATAGTCAACATTTAAAAAAAAACCGAATATTATTTTGGAACTCATATTGTTGAAACAACATCAACCATTCGGTAAATTTTGCGAATATAAAAAACATAAACAAAATCGCGATCAAATCTTAAAGAAATGTTCTTTTACCAAACTTAAAAGTATATATGTTTCCGTCTCAACTATTGAACAAATATAAATTTTTCTAGCGTAATGGATTTGCATTGTCATGAGTTTCGCCGAACGGTGTATGAAGTTATCGACGACTACGCGCAGCAATTCGTAAGTGAACGTTTTGGAATATTTTTGTAAAAATGAAGAAAAAACTCTATTTACAGAATAGAATCATAGAAACCGCCGAGCAACGTGGAATCGCTAACCAAATTCAAGGTTTTACCATCGGTTATAATCTGACTGTGTTGATTTTGGAATCGCTTGTGAATGACTGTTTCAATGGGCTTTGCAACCACGTTCTAGCTGCGGTATGTTCCAAATTATTTTGATATTATATAAATCCAACCGACATACAGTGGTAATAAGTTGCTAAGATTATAGATATACGCCCTTCAACTTGATCGCATTGTCTTCGATGCCGCCCTCGTCGTTGAAAACCACGTTTTGAATGTTGCCCCTGCTGCATGAATTGATGATACCACACCAGAAATAACAGAGTAATAATGCATCCGTTTCTTCACCCCCCCCCCTCAATTTCTTGTATTTTGTACATAATAGTTAGTTGTTTGCCTCATTTTTGTTGATTTGTTGTCATATTTTTGTACATAAGTGTTTAATAATGCGGGAAGTGGATACCTACCACCCGTTTAATAACACCCATTTCTTTTTGCCACCGTTTTTCTTATCTTGTTATTTGTCTTGGTCAGATTTTGCATTATTTTTTGCCACCAAGGTTCTTGCAAATAACATCTTCCCGTTTGCCAATGCTGCATGAATTGACGATACCACACCAAAAAGAGCAGATTAATGATAAATTATCTGTTCTCACTAATTTCTTGAATTTTGTACATAATAGTTAATTGTTTTCCTCACTTGTTGATTTGTTGCCATATTTTTGTACATAAGTGTTTAATAATGCGGGAAGTGGTTACCTACCACCCGTTTTTACACCCCTTCACCCTTTGATTTCATTCTCATTATATTCCCCTGTCACATTCTCAACGGTTCTACAGAAATCATTAGCCTGGTATCATTCCTTGTGTGATATATTGATTCCCATACTACACGTGTTCTAATAATTTTCGAGGTAGATTTAATAAATTTGTGATAGATTGAATTTCTTTTTGAGTTATAGAGTATTAAGACTGCAAAAGAAAATATTTGTGATTATTCAATTCTTTACGTTGGTTATTTTCTTGTTGAGTGATGCCGCTCAGGCTACAATAATCATATGACATTGTTAACAATTTTGTGAAACTTTAATTTCAAGAGTCATTTTTTCGTTCAGCGGAAGCTCAGGATCTGATATGTTACAAAGTATTTCTTTTTGAGAATTATTTGCGAAGCACAATCAACATAATTCTGTGTGCGCTTTTAATATCTGATTTAATCATTTGAAACATGATCAAACTTAAAATCATTGCAAGACCGTGGCGCGTAATCACAAGCCAGCTCCCATAAATTCGCTCGTCTTTGTCAATACACCAAATTCTGTGGTTATTGTTTGGACCTGCATTATTGAATCAAATTATAGAAATATCAACAATCAATGAATCCAAATTTAATGAAACAAAATGATTTGGTTTATATTGAAAATACTCTTTGACGACGAAGACAATACAACATGTGATCACTATGTATATAACTTTGACGTTTATGATGTTCTCAATTAAGAGCGCGACGATCAGCGGCAAGCTTTTTGCGGCACAATACGAAGGCAAATTTGTTTACTCAAAAAGTGTTTTACAATCAGTGTGTTTATTACGATCATCTGTCGCGAAAATTTGATCCGAATGAGGTTCAAAAAACATCCGACATTTACGATAACCAAGCGCATTGGATAGAAGCGAGATAGTGAAGTTTCATATGCTAAAGCGCAGCAAACCGCAGAGTTTTTAGGAACTCGGACCGGATAAGCTCCTCCCATTTGGAGTCGGCAAAATCTACAAATCATATGCATGGAAACTCGTCTTGCGCATTATACAAAACAAACGGCGTGCCGATCGTCTCGCTATTTTCAATATTTTTTTTTTCGACGACAGTATTTTTGTTTTCCCTTTATGGTCATGAGAATATTCTGATCCATTTTTGAATGTAACGCGTTACGGCGCGAAAACGATGACAATCATCATTCCGAATATTCACATTTGTCGAACGAACGTTTTTGTTCATCCAAATGTAAGTGTACAAAACTTTCAGGACATGCAATTCTGTCCGATATGCCGCTGCTTTGTCGCCGACTATCATGAGCACAGTGATCAGAGCCTCATTCAATGTAAAAAGGACAAAATCAAAACGGGCATTGAAAACGCGATTTTTTAGGGAATCAACAAGCCGATCATGTGAGAATTGCGACGCATCCGATCCGTCAAGTCGTTTCTGCTGAAGGTAACGCTGCCGGCCGAGTCTTGCCGACTAATGGACGGAGCACTCCACGCCCGTCACTGGAAAATCCGGGACCTGTCGAGAGTTACATGGACATTGGAAATGCCGCCGGAATGGCATTGCCGACGCACAGACAGAATGGGCACATTCCATCCATTCGTGGTATTCACACTGTAGAAAAATACTCAAAATAAAGTCTCTGCATTCATTTAGATTGGCTTCAGATGCCGTCTCACATAACAAATGAGCAGCTAGAACAATATTTTTCCCAAAGAAGAAGCGCTGTTTTAGGCCGGAATCGCTTTCACTTTACCCCACCGCCAGCCTACCAATTCTCAGAGCGCAACTTGTTTGCGTCGTCTTCCGATTTGTTCGGGGCTGCTAGTGGCAATGTGCAGCGTCCGAGTGTTGCTGATCTCTTCAACAGAACCGAAAATATGCCGCCTCACGAAAATGAGGAAATTGAACGCGCTGAACCTGGTAGTACGATTGAAATGAATTAAGTCGTTGACATGTCCAATGATTGTAGATTTTCGCGAGGCAACCGCTCGTGGTATTGCGAATGCCGATCTCACCGAAGCTGAGATGGGAGTTACTTCTGGCGATGCTACTTCAACTAATTACCAATAGAGTACCGCTACGTCATTTATGCAACCCTGATATTAACCTGTCTATTTTGTAATTTTTTTTCATAACAAAACCATGATTTTACCCATTATTTTTTGCATTCTTATTCTCATTCTTATTCTTAAAAGCATTATAAGTTTCTCTCTAATTATTTTTTTTGATAGTTGATGGCTCTTTCAAAACTTCTGCTCAATACTTTTCTATTCGCGATATTATAACACTTTTTATTTCTTCATTTTTATTCTCATCTTATAACTTGTTTTCTGTTAATACTTTTCTATATCGTTTTGTTCTTATTACAATGTACGGCATTTTTTTTGGACCCAAATTATAACCGTTCCTACAAATCATCGTAGTTTTGCACATTTTGGGTGTGGCGTAGGTTGACAGAATTAATTGTGTTGAAGCACTCACACCGCGTTCCCTTAATATTTCCATTCGCTATTGGTCGTCCATCTTCATTTGCTGAGAATTTAAAAGAGAATAATAGTCCCATTAAACACACCATTAATGACGTTTATAATGCGCTTTAGCCCATATATGTATGGTATATCATTTTGCATCCATTTCATTCGTCAGAGAGCAAAACCAAAATGCCATTCTTTATGGTTTCGAAAATTAGCTTAAAAATGCGTAGCATGAGAATATCAACTAGTCACAGATTTATTATATTCCTCAATTTTTTTTATACTGATTACACTGTTTCAATCACAAGATTTATTTGTTTCATATGAAACCCGGAATGGATGTCAACGAAATGATGGTAATTCAAGTGTTCACATATTAATGGTGCGCTTTGGTTGCTTTTTGCAGAACACTTTTCGCATGGTCTCGTACGAGCAGTGATTCAGACAGCACAATTCCGACGCCTTAACGTCTGAAAACATATAGAATAGATTAATTTCAAATTTGAATGAAAATTCACCGATTGGTTGAAGGTCGAACTTGCAAATCTTCTTCAGCATGTTGAAGAGACGCGATCCGCACCGTCTCTCGAAGCGCACGCGATCGACGGAGCAGGAAACGATGAGAGCAATCGCGAGAAGGATGAGAACGAATTTCATGTTTTGAGAATGACGGACAAATCAAAATATGAACGTGCTTCTTGCTCGATTTTGCCAGTGCAGTGGAGGCGGAGTCAAATGCATTTATGAAATAGGCGGTCGATTTCAAGCTTCTAGAATTGTGTGAATACAAAAAAAGCTTAACGATCATCAGAAATTTTACGAACTCGGAGGAAAACTATGACTAGAATTTTGAAAAATATATGGAATTGTGACAAATTAAAAATTAATACAAAATGTGAAAATTTTCACTTCACGATGAAAATTATATAGTTTCAGTTTAACCATATCCATCCAATGTTCACAATTCAAATTAAAATTTAGAAATTTTTCTTACTCAATGTACTTGTTTTCTTTTTTTTTTAATTGAATTGATTTTTATATTCCTGGTTTTTGAAAAACTACGAAGTAAGTGGAAATACTCTGAGATATCTCATTCAGACGACGTGACGTTTTCCCACGTAATTGTATCTCAAGAGCGGGACGTTTTGTGAGGTCATTCTATTGGATTTCTCTTTAATTCGTATTGTCTGACGCAATACGCTGCTTCATTTAATGAACCAATTAAAGCATTTTTATTTAAGCGTTTTATTAGGCGAATGTGGGTGTAGAGAGAACAAAAATCAAACTGTTTTGAAAATTCTCAGAAAAATTTTGCTTGTCTAAAATATCGAGGTAGGATTTAAACAATTTCAATCTAGATAATTAATTTTTGAGGTTAATTTTTGGGAAATAATTTTTTGGAGTCGGCACTTTTTAAGATTGTTTTGAAAATTGTATAATAAACGAACAAATGTAGCGTTTCAGTTGTATTTCCGGATTCAATTGCCAATAAATACAATATTTTTAATATTTTCCGACTGTCTTCTCCTCATTTCATATTTCTTTCAAAACAAGCCCATTTATTTGCAAGCAATATTTGTGTTGGCAAGATTAATATAGCCATCAATAAACCCATTCTGCGCATTTCTTCTGGATTAGGACGACTTTGGAGAATTGATATAAAACCATTTTTTCGAAGAAAGCTCTTTCAATAAAGCAATTATTCAAAAATGAAGGATTCCATGCAATAGTTCCTCTGATGCAATAGCTAAAACAAAATGCTTCAAACATTTCCATCTCTATGAATTAAGTTTGTGAATACATAAGTATTACTGAAAATCATATAAATGGAAAAACTCAAAAAGTTAAAACTCAGTGCATCACTCGAGATAAAAGCTATAAACTAAAAGAAATTTCTGTTATATGGCATACAAGAATCATTCAGCCATTTTCAATTTAGGAGAATTTCTGGAGTCAATTAAGAAGAATTACGGTTTGTTCTATAACTTTCCAGTAATTTGGCAGATGCATTGAAAATCGATTTTGCGAACTGGAGAGCGAAACATCTAATTCGTGTCGAATGCAAGATAACCATCAGCCAATACCCTCATTGTTTTTGCATACAATTGCGGTTGTATATGTAGTCTTCGCAGTCTTCCTCTAGGAACACACGAATAAGTAATCTTGGTCTTGTGTAGGCGTGCCCCATTGGCGCAGTCGGTTAGCGCGTGGTACTTATAGTCAATAGGGTATGCCAAGGTCGCCAGTTCGAGCCTGGCATGGGGCATATGTTTTTACAAGATTTTTATAGTTGGTTCAACAAGAAAAAATTCTGGAACATCAAGAAATTTCTCAAAATTTCAATAGATTGAGATTTTTTTTATTCACTATGTCCTCGAAGGTTGAAAGAGTGTTGTAGAGGTTTTTAGCACACTTTGACACACAATGTGCAGAAAACATGTAAGTAGCAGCGCGATAAAAATGGGGTCACACGAAGGAGATTTGGAGATTTGGTCAAACTTGTATACGAATCCCAACAGAAATAAATTATCATTAATTTCTGGGTGAATGGAATCTTTTCAGACTTGTAATCATTTTTGTTTCTCAAAATACAAAGGGAAAAAGCAGCCATACGTTAATTCCAAATCGATATGATACTATTTAAAACATAACCCAATTATTCGGAAAGACCAACGTGTCGCAAACGATAAGTAACACGAAGACAAGGACTGCAATCGTAGCAATCATCGTGCTCATGTCGAGAAAAGAAGCATTGTCGGAATTCGGCATCTGACTCGCAGGGATCGGGGCTATCGATTCCGTAGTGTTTGCATACATCACCGATTTATTTACAAAAGAAAACGGAGTCGATGCTGAAACGAAAATCGGAAATTCAACAATAACATAAATGACTTGGAGAAGCTAAAAATTGCGATGAGAAGAAACAAAACAGAATTTATGGTGTTTATTTAAACAAATAATAACTGAACAATAGTATTTTATGCTGCCAGCCGCTACCGTTATGAGCGTTGATAAAGTCTCCAGTGTTTTTGTTTATTAAAAAAAACAGTAATATTTATGATCCCGGTTCATTATTAGAAAACATTTCTTGATAGCTAGTAAGTAAAATAAATATTAAGGAACTGCAAAAATTGAAATTGAGTGTGTGGAATTAAGAGAAAACTTGTTTTCTATATTTTTTTTTAATCACTTTGTCGGTTTGTTCTATTGATGCGCGTTCATTCTATTGAATTATTAATTAATTTCAAGTTTTTTGGTCTACAAGATTTGTTATCTGGTCGACAATTCTGGAGGTTGCTTGGCGGATTGCTGCTAAATTGGCAAAAATAGAAATAATATTTACAGTAATGCGCTGTGAATTCACTCGAAAATTAATATTGAAAAAAAAAATTATATTGACCATATGAACATTATTTCATCCCTTTTATTGATTTTAGTGGAGGGCCAAGGCCAAAGTATCTATTTAAAACGTTGACAAAAGTGAATATCCATAGAGAAATGTTTGATTACTATTTTGATTTTGAACAGACAGTACTACATATTTTTTGGAGAATTTTTATTGCTGTGGAGATATTTGAAAGTATTGATGGGTAAATTAATTATTATTTATACACAAATAAATTATGTTCCGGTGGGGACTCAGCACTCATTCATACTCTGCCGTTCGATATCGAGGACCGTCATGTGTAGGCGAACACACATTGCCTAAAATTGGGAAAAATTTCATATGTATAACTAACACATCATGTTATTGGATATAAAAAATGTGTGGGAAACATTTCGATTTTCATTAGTAATGGTTTTTTCCGACAGATAGAATTTTGTGAGAACCTACACATTGAAATGGTTCATTCTTTTCTCTGGATCTTTCTCAGAAAGAGTCCGAAAATTCGTCACACTTGAGAGGAATTACACCAGGATTCATAATCATTTTCTCAATATTCGCGATCACTCAAAAAAAAAAGTAATTTTTGTACAACCAAATAGTCGCCAATCTAACGGACCATTAAAGCGTCGTGATCGTGATTTCCGGCTTCACATTGATCCATAAGTCCCATGATACTATTGATGATTCCCTCGAGAGAATCGGTGGAAGGGCATTGGGGCATTCCTCGGCGGGCCACACGATACTGAAATGATTATCGATAAAAATGGTTATGCTTCAAATTCGCTTACACAACGGACGTAACTACGGAAAATAAGCGCCCGACATCTCGCAAAGCGTGCATTACATTCCTCCATTCTGCTTTAAAAGTTGTCATTACATCGATGCAAAAACTAGAAATTAGATGTTCTCTATAAATATTAGGTGCTGTGGTGATTCCATAGAAACGAAAATATTTGCTTCGAAATAGTTTTAATTTAAAAAATATTATGCATCTTTTTTATTTGCAGAATTATCGATATTAAAAAAAAAGTGTTGTCGCTGGCCGGATTCGAAATGTTTTTTTTTTCATTTCCATCAGTGGCCTGAAACTAACATTATGGTCATTGAAATTTTTATTGCATAATTTTTACATTTCATGCTCGACAACCATATATTAAAATTGCAGTCACCAACAGCTTTGCTGGGCGGAGTATTACTAATAAAAGTCTGTAATTGCCTCTTCTAACTTCTATTATTGCCTAATAAATATGCTTTGCTAAGTAAAATTGAAAATAATATCAATTTATTTAAATTTTTAGGATTCTATTTTCTAGTAGACTTTAGTTTCAATCCTTTTCCAAAAGAAAAGAAAAGAATATTTCGCCCTTATACGACAATTTTCGATTTGAATAATAAATTCCAAAAATACGCCAGCGTGCACAAGAAACGCGTCAGTATCTTGTGGCAAGCGTGTTTGGCGCACAATTAAATCGTGGATGTTTCGAAAGCTTTTGCTAAATATGCCCTAGGCAACCATGTTTAATCCAGGTTGCATTTTCTTCTTTTTATCATTTTAAAATTTGAATGTGAAAAATGTTCAAATCTAAATGCATGTATATCAAACAAGAATTTACCTAGAAAAGCTGGAAACTGGCGTGATACAGATGAGATGGCAATTAACTGCCCGAAATCATGCACGAATTAGGAATCGCTCGGAAATCGGCATAAAACACAAAAATCTTCCTATTTCCGATTCGTATTTGGCGATGATTAGAATTTTTGCAGTACTCGAAGAAATCACCCGTCTTTTTTTTAAAACTTTATCTGAAATTAACAAATAACTATTGGAATACCTTGAAGCTTTAACATTCTCAAACAGAAATTCCCTTGTTGATTTGCATGGGTAGTCAATCAGAAAAAAATGGCGTCCTGGACGTGCATAAAACCACGCTGGTTGCGGGTGTTGACGCGTTTTCGGAGCACATTGACGCGTTTTCGGAGCACATTGACGCGTTTTGGAATTTCTCACTTTTATTTCTGAAATATGATTGATTATGAATGGATTCTTCATGGCAGAATTTTGTTAAAAAGATGATCGATGCTTAATTTCTCAATTATCAAAAAATTGATTTCAAAAATTGACAAAATTGTTAAGAAAAATCTTTTTTTTTTTAGCTTATTTTGCAAGAATTAATACCTTATATTTATTTTCAATATATATGCTTCTCTTTCAAAGTAAAAAATTGAGAAATTAAACTCTAAAATTGTGTCGTAATGCATAGTGTTCGCGCACACCGAGTCATTGATTAAACTGAAATGGTGAAATTTGCATGTAATGAAATAACCTATTTACAATTATAAAACCATATTCACCAAAAAAAGTAATGTGGATGAGCTTGAAAATGAAAAGACTCACTAAAAGCGACGACACGCAAGTTGAACAAAATTTGACAATGCGAGAGAGTGCGTAAAAACGAGAGAGTGAGGTTAGAGTAGCAGAAAGCGACAAATTTTGCGAGAAAATGCGTTTGTTAGTATTAAGTTGAAAACATTCCAAAATATAAAAATATTATGATTTTAAACATAATCTGTTTGAAGTTTGAGTTTCTATGACCACGTTAGAACCCAACTAAAAACGGTATTTATTCATTGTTACATGTTTATTGTAATAGGCGGGCGAAATTGTGGTGCAGTTTTTTTCCGTTGGAATTGCTATCATGACATTGAATAACTATTAAAAACGAGTTTTGTAAAAGGCGAGCTTTTTTAAAACTTGACACTGCGTCGTCAAGTTATGACAGTCGTGGCCGAGAAGGCGAAATAAAAAAAAAAGATTCATAGCATTTTGAATCTGTCATCAATCTGAAGCTAATATAACAATTACAAACTAATGAGCACTCCGGGCCGAGGAGTTTCGTTGTCCGAAATATGATACGTGAATTCCTACTGTTAAAATTCAAATTTGAATTCCCGCCTCTACAGTGAACACACTGTCAACAATAATAACATATTTCCATGAGCAAAACCGATTAAGGCAATATTTAAATTATTTGGATCATTTAAAAATTGAAGACTAATTAGCGACAAAAAATGATAAGGTCTGATTTGTCTTCATCGTGTCATTTGCTATCAACGGATGCTTCCGTTGTTGCGAACTTCATTTCTTATCCATAACTACTACTTCGAAACATTTCTTAAACGTCGATATATTGAATTCTTTACCCTTTATACATATTAGACGATCTGTAGGGCTTCGTTTAAAAAACCAAAATTAAAAATGGAGGCTTTACACCGCAGCTAGGCAGATTAAGTCACAGGTGTTAGACGCACTTTTGGATGTTGCCGTCAACCCTGGCAATTAGCCCTAATTGTGAAAACAGGTGTCATTAAAAGGTGTCACATTACTGGAAAGACAGATAGGGATTATTCGGTAATTAGAGTAAGTAGGATGTATCAGCTCAGTCATTCTTGTCGAGATACGTGGCTAGCATTATTAATGGCATAAGAATTGCTTGAAAGAGCATTGGTATAAAAATTGGGGACAAAACTTTAAAACTACAATAGTGGCCACATCAAATTTAATTACTTTTACTACGCGCGATATGTCACATATTCTTGATTACCGTCATTTTTAACAAAACGTTAGGAATTCAGATTTTCAAAATTCGAAACATCAAAATTCAGATATTGGTAGAAAGCAGAAAAGTTCGTTTAAACCACCACCGCTCTATGTAAAAACGTATCAATTAAATTTTTTTCCAAAAGATGAAATATCGAAAGTTCATGGGTTTTCATTCGGGAGAAATTACGTGAATTTGAACAATTCGACTTTTCACACACACTTTAGCCGAAGACCATAATCACTCTGTTTTTACAGTATGAAAACTTTATTAAAAGTTTGTGTAAAAACTTTATTAAAAGTTTGTACATTTTAATTTTTTCCCAAGAAGTTAAAATAATCTTTTACAATTATTTTCCTCATGTATTTGAGAATTGAAAATTCAAAAAATTTTCATAGCCGGCACATGTAATGCCATCATCGCCTTCAAGGAACTTTTTATCGCAAGATATACATCATGTCATTTAGAAAACTATATCCTGGTACTTAACAACTAAAACTTTAGTTGTTGCTATTCAGTTCGGAATAATTGGTGCTGGTAGTATTTCATTGGGACATCTATTTTTGGTCGATCCAGAATGCTCGCGCTTTCTATTTCGAACACCTGTTTGAAACGGCTTAGTTTGAATCTCGCGCGTTTGTCTTCTTCTCTGTGTCTAACTCTTCAAAATGCTTCTCTAGACAGCTTTAGGTGCCAGGTTGATTCCATTCAAAATCAATTCTGCTCTAAAATTAAATTTGTATTCCAATTCTTATTTACTATTCGTTCTTAATAATACTCAAGGCTACTTTATTAGGGATATGGTGAAATTGATGGAGAAACAGCATTGGAGAAAGATTTAGAAAATGGCGATAATGCAACTTCATCTACCAACTCGAACAACGAAATTATTCTTAGTGAAGAATTTAAATCTTGGTTAGATCTCAGGAATGACATTTTAGATATTCAAGAAGAAACGGAGGTAAATCTTAATGTTTGTCTTCCGATATCAACAATTTAATTCAGCAATTAATCGAGTCGGAACAAAGTGAAAAGTATAAGTTGACCACCATTGAACGAAACTCATTGTATCAGCATCTAATTGCTGATTTTGACCCTAATGACGTCACTGTCAATCTTGATTGCTACAACCGAGTATGTCAAATAAGGTCATCTTCCAAATTTGATCATTCAACTTTAGAGCTATGGAATGATTTATAAATTCATGGATATTGTTAATAGAGGATTTGATTTCCTCACCATCGCTCAAATTCTTGAAGTGATCCAAAAAGAATTTTTCGAAGAATGCAGACGATTGACCTCCATTCGTGAATATGTGGAATCTCGCATTCCGGCGCCCACACGAAAAGCTCCGTTGACTGTGGAGGAAGGAATGGAACTCACTTCTTTGTTTTTGAAAACGAAAGAATTTTCAAGGAACATTCTTTCGAAAATCGAGCAGACCAAGGAAATGTCCGCACAGTGCAAAATATACAGAAAACATGTAGACATACTGAGTGCCCAATAAAAATTATTTCGAATCCTTACAGAGTAAACTTCCATTGGACGCAGAACGACTTACAAACAGATTTGTGCGTCTGCGGTTTCCGTCGATGGAGCTAAACTCAGAAGAAAGAAAGAATCTGGACGATATAAGGAACTTTGCTAATTTATTCTTGCAAGTTGTCGATCAAGTGGATATTATGACGCGAACAATTGCCACAATGGTCTTGAAAGATAATTCGATTTTTCCTACAATTTTTGATTTAAAGTAAACAAAAGACATGCCGAATCGGACACACAAAATAGCAGTTCGAAAAGCGATGAAGGAAAAGATCGGAAAAGTGATGATTCAGAAAAAGATTTGAAATTGGATTCAGATGACTGCGAGGATATTAATCCTCTTTTGCATTTCAACAAATTCGACGATATCTGTTCTGCTCCATTTTTTAATACTCAGGTCAGCTCTTCTTATTGGTTTATAGAGGTAACGAATATTGAGAATCTCATGAAATTTACAATTAATTCAGGAGCCAATTTATATAGATCACACTGCTGGCTCACATGCACGGGGAGAGCCTATGGTAATCAAGGAATTACTAAATGCGTTTCAACGGAGCGCTCAAAATGTGTTGACAGATTTAAGAGATACGGTGCTCAATCTTTTGTTTGCAATTAAAGACGAGCGTGAAGAAGATTGCAATAAATTTGCTGAAGAAACAGTGGGAGTCATGAGAACGCTAATCTCTTTAGCTGACATGACAAAAGAATTCAATTTCCAAGTAGAAATGAACAAACATACGGTAACAAGATGTAGCAAATAATATTTCAAATATTTTTGCAGATGACAGAGCAACAGATTTCAGTTGTCTATACCAAATCAATTGAATTTCCAATATTTTCTCATTTGCTCGAGAAACCGATGGCATATTACAAAGCTGTCAAGAATTACGTGGAAACCTCTCTCTCTCAATGGCGGATGAAATTTGTAAATATGCAAGTTAAATTCAATTTTTTGTCGAATAGCTTGTGAATTTTTGCAGGCTGCTCGTTGCAATTAGTTAGCTGAATTTTGAATTTTGATCGATGAGCTTATATTCTTGACGCTACCTTTTACAACTAAATTACCTTCATAAGAATGTGTAATGCTTAAAATGGTTTAAATAAATTGAATTTTTTATTTTATATTTTATGAATCTTATTGTGTGTTAGTTCATTTGATCCTAACCAATATGCATTTTTTTTCCTTAAGGCCTAAACGACGAATATTGTAATAATTGCCACAAATGTTGCGTAACTTGTTCAACATTTTATGATGGTAATGAGGAATATACAGGCAGAACTTATGATGTAACTCACTCTAGCCGACTACGATATTCCAGACGTTATATATACTTTTGCACTCTGTCCACGTTTATATTGAATTATTTATGAACGATTTGAAATAAAAACTGTTGGTATTCAAACGTTAAGTAAATATAATACGAAATACGCTGATTTGAAGATATTGCGAGAAATTTAAATTATATTTAGATATCTTATTAGAAGCAACTTAAAAAAACGATCTTCTTCTTTGTAATTCGAAGAATTGTGTTTATTGGTTTCTCGTTAGTTGATTATTATGAAAAAAGCAAACTAAATATGACAGACCCAATTTCGTGGTCTTATAATAGAAGACGTTAGAAGAAAAAAATTATATTAGAAGACGATAGAACTTCTCAAAGAAAAACGCTTTTTTTTTCTAAAATCTCTAAAGAATTCAGTAATTATTTTTGATTGTTGTTATTTCTTATCTCATTTCAATAAAATATATTTTTTTTTAATTTTTGACTTATTTTCACAAAAAAAAGTTGCACCCTTTTATATTAGAAGACGTTAGAATTCCTCAAAGAAAAACGTTTTTTTTTCTAAATCTAAAAAATATTGCTCAATGCTTTTCCCTTGTAATTGTACTCAAGAGCCACGTTTGTGGGACCGTTATATTTGATTTATCTTTAATTCGTAAAATTTGACGTAATACGTCGTTTGCTTTACCCATCAAGGAATTTCATTTTACGTGTGCTTTGTTATAGGCATGTGGGTGCAAGGCGAACAAAGAGCCAACCATTTCCACAGATTTTTCTTAAAAACCATTTTGATAGAGGTGCCCTTCAGAAAAATTGACATATACTTGCACTGTAAAAAATGCTTCTAATTTTTTAATCCCAAACCCAGAAAAATAAAATAATTCATTTATTATACTAGGTACGATTTTTGGATAAAACAATAAATTCGGGGTGGCAACTTTGGAGTTGCTTTTGTACACAATAACATGGGGAAAAGGTACAAATATGTATATACAATTTGGCTTTTAAGCTTTTGGTTGCGACGTTTCTGCTTCTGGCTTTGTCTGTAATTGTCGCATGATCCACAACAAGTGATTGAAACATTTGTCGCCATAGCAACGACGGAAGAAGTATTCGTAGGCGATAGGTTCATGGTCAGCATTCGGTGCTTTCGACATTTTTGTTTTGATGCTCTGCCTATCGCGCTCTTCAGCATCTAATTGAAGCCATACATCAGAAATGGTTGAAACTGTGTAATGGTGGGCCAGTCCCTCATTGAGCTAGAATGGACAACATTTTTTTTATAACAGAAGGTTATACCGTTTGTAAATCGCCAAATCTTTTCAAATATGTGTCCTTCATGACAATAGCACTTCCAGGTGCGACTTTTTCCTTAACGGCTCGTATTTTCAAAGATACATTACTATGTATGTATATGCACACGATCGGAACATATATGTTAATGCTTGCACACACCTGGAGAAGCATTCCGCTGGAATTCAGTATATATACGAATCTATTGATTATAGGAGGTCAAATCATAAAAAATTGAATTCCACAGTCCGTGGCGGCAAAGGTTGCATAAACCGTAAACTTTGGTGTCTGGTTATACACAAAAGTTGCCGTCACGGGCATTTCGTCGAACATCCTGTGGTTTAATTTCGAATGATTCAGAAGAGTGCTTAGTAATTGTAGCAATTAAACTCCAACAAAATGGTTGTGGAAAAGTGTTAATGGTTTTTGAATTGTCTCGGCACGCTTTTATAGGGAAAGCTGGCGTCTCTTCTATCTCTGATAAACACTGTATCACGATTGCATGGAAACCTTATTTTAAATAACAAAGAGCGTGGGAGCTGTTTTTTTTCAGCTCCACACTATACATGGGGTGTTGCAAAAATTGAATACGAAAATAATTCAGTGTGCGAGCAATCATCCTTATTGAAGAAGTTTGAGTATGAAAATAAGTGGGCATTATCATTATTTGCAAGAGAAACAAGAAATAATTTCAAACTTGAAGTATGACTTTCTGTTGGGTGCACACATTGACATCATGTTGCCATGGGGGTACAGTGTACCCGGTAAAGAGGTATGAGGAAATGACAAGGTGCGAAAATTGAGTCTCGGATGCGCAATGTGCTAGACCGCACAGGATTGATTTACAATGAGTCAAATGTGGGCATCCAGTGCACTGTTTTTCCTTCCTCACCGCCACAGTCCATTGCAAATTACTCATCATTTATATCTGTCGACGTGTCGTTTTGGTACCATTTACTATTGGTTTTTGCTATTTTTGTTTTTTGAATAATTGCTAGAAATTATCACAAAAAGAAAATATTAAATTTAAGTAATTATTTAATATTTTTGAACAATTATTTTGTTTGCATTTTCTTCTTTCCCAGTTATTAATATTTACCGGTATTTCTCTCGTATTTGTTGCTGAATATCAAAATAGTTTCAATTTCCACTAATAAAATGTTGATTTAAGAGAAAATGAATGAAAGTGAAGATAATCGTGGTTTGAAGCGAAAAAATGATGATTCAAATGTTAATTTGGCCGAAGAATTTAATTCGACCTCAACAAAGAAAACTAATAAGGTTAGTAAACGGTTATTTTCAATATACAGGTTGACGATCAGACTTTACAGGTTGACGATCAGACTGAGAAGAGAAGAAATGATGGGTTGAGTGAAAATATGGGTAGAAAATGCCATGAAGATGAAGAGAGACACGAGATAGATAGTTCGAATGGGATTGCTGGATCTGCTTCACTTCAGAAGGAAGAGACTGAATCTCCCCATCACGAAGATGAGAAAGTATGTTTGAAAAAATGTATGTCTTGTAAAGTTGAAAATTAAGATTAAGCAAATTGGTCAAAAAAGGATCGACAAGAAGTCGCACAGACCGATGCTTCTGTTAGCAAGAAACTGGAAGATGAGAAGAAAATAAGCGCGAAGAATGAAGAAAAAGCAAGCTGTAGCAATAATATTGAGAATACGAGTTCATCGGTACATATCATCTTCGAATATTTACAGCATATGTATTTTCAGAGTAGAAGCGAGTATTACGAGACCATGTGCAAGGCCTTTGGCATCACAGACAGCGACCGTGAACGTTGGAGTGCTGCCGCAGCCTCGACGAGTTCCGCAAGCCAACGAGGAAAGGCAGCTGCCAGCCGTGGCCGATTCCCAGTGAGACGTCTACAACCAGATACTGGAAACAATCCAACAATTCTTGAAGACGGTCAAGAGGTAGCGCCGCTCGATGAGGTTCTTAATATTGAATTCACAGTAGAGAAACTTGTGGAGCTTTTGAATGATCAAAGAAATGGGTATTAATTATCTACGCATTTCGTTTTTCTAATGTTTCCAATGTTTAGATTGAATTTTCTCGCCCGCTATGGAATTATTCCGAATTCCAGGGTGTGTAAAACGGGAAAATGCCCCAAAGGTCAATCGATGACTTTCGGAAAGAACACCCTTGGTTACGTGGTAAGACTACTTTTGTTCGCGTTAAAATTATAACGAATTCGAAATTATTTTAGTGGCGATGCCAAAGATGCCGAAGAAATTTTGGAGACCGAGCTGCTCCTAGAGTATCCGTTTTCGATGGTACATTTTTGTCCAATTCAAGAATTCCTCTCCACAAGGTAATCGCAAAGTGTCTTCCGAACTCTATTTACATGACTTGCTTCACAGCTTTTCTCATTCATGTTCATTTGGTCCACAAATCCCGGTTTGAGCTTGAATGTCTACAAACAAATAATGGGAGAAAATCGAATTTCCCCTGAATCGATGAAGAAAACTATTTCATTTATGCGATTCGTCATTCAGATGTGGTAATCACAAATTCTGAATCATTTTTATAATAGTCGCGTCAATTTGAGGTGTGAGAGAACGTATGCGAATTCGAAGATCGGAGGTGACGGCAAACATGTTGAAATCATCGAAACGTTTTGTGTTGAAAGCTTGGAAAATTTGAGATTAGTGGTTCGAACGGCGTTCGTGTGCCTCGAGGATAATACATTTGGATACGTGGGAGTTAAATTGGTAAGTGGTAACCCCTCTTTACATTTCCCAAATAAGTTATGTTGGAAAATTTCAGGAAAATAGATCCCTTTTTTTGCGAGCCGTCAACGAAAAAGTCGCACCTGGAAGTGCTATTGTCATGAAGGACACATATTTGAATAGATTTGGCGATTTACAAACGGTATAGCTTAATTTCAAGATCCTGTTATAAAAAATGTTGTCCATTCTAGCTCAATGAGGGACTGGCCCACCATTACACAGTTTCAACCATTTCTGATGTATGGCTTCAATTAGATGCTGAAGAGCGCGATAGGCAGAGCATCAAAACAAAAATGTCGAAAGCACCGAATGCTGACCATGAACCTATCGCCTACGAATACTTCTTCCGTCGTTGCTATGGCGACAAATGTTTCAATCACTTGTTGTGGATCATGCGACAATTACAGACAAAGCCAGAAGCAGAAACGTCGCAACCAAAAGCTTAAAAGCCAAATTGTATATACATATTTGTACTTTTTCCCCATGTTATTGTGTACAAAAGCAACTCCAAAGTTGCCACCCCGAATTTATTGTTTTATCCAAAAATCGTACCTAGTATAATAAATGAATTATTTTATTTTTCTGGGTTTGGGATTAAAAAAATAGAAGCATTTTTTACAGTGCAAGTATATGTCAATTTTTCTGAAGGGCACCTCTATCAAAATGGTTTTTAAGAAAAATTTGTGGAAATGGTTGGCTCTTTGTTCGCCTTGCACCCACATGCCTATAACAAAGCACACGTAAATTCCTTGATGGGTAAAGCAAACGGCGTATTACGTCAAATTTTACGAATTAAAGATAAATCAAATATAACGGTCCCACAAACGTGGCTCTTGAGATACAATTACGTGGGAAAAGAATTGAACAATATTTTTTTCAGATTTAGAAAAAAATAAGATTTTAGAAAAAAAAAAGCGTTTTTCTTTGAGGAATTCTAACGTCTTCTAATATAAAAGGGTGCAACTATTTTTTTTTGTGAAAATTAGGCAAAAATTAAAAAAAATATATATTTTATTGAAATGAGATGAGGAATAACAGCAATTAAAAATAAATACTGAATTCTTTAGATTTTCATATCATTTTAACAAATGGTAGATTGTCCTATTTCTCGGTCTCGTCTAGAAATTTTGCCGACATCTGATCTTTGATCTCTTTTTTTTCCATTCACACAATTCTAGAAGCTTGAAATCGACCGCCTATTTCATAAATGCGTTTGACTCCGCCTCCACAGCGCAGGCAAAATTGAGCAAGAAACACGTTCATATTTTGATTTGTCCGTCATTCTCAAAACATGAAATTCGTTCTCATCCTTCTCGCGATTGCTCTCATCGTTTCCTGCTCCGTCGATCGCGTGCGCTTCGAGAGACGGTGCGGATCGCGTCTCTTCAACATGCTGAAGAAGATTTGCAAGTTCGACCTTCAACCAATCGGTGAATTTTCATTCAAATTTGAAATTAATCTAATCTATATGTATTCAGACGTTAAGGCGTCGGAATTGTGCTGTCTGAATCACTGCTCGTACGAGACCATGCAAAAAGTGTTCTGCAATAAGCAACCAAATCGCGTCGTCAATATGTGAACATTGGAATTGCCCCCCAATTCATCATTGAGATCACATCGTCAATTATAAATATTCAATGTGATGTGTTCTTCGATAAACTGTTGATTTTATTATCTTTCAACTGATTTTATTTTTTCGATTAAACTGATTATTTTAAATGCTGTCGTGGACGGACGAATTTGAGAAATTTGAATTGCGCGGACTGTCATTTAATTGGTCTCGCAAAACAAAACCGGTTCATACTCCACCATTCGCCACTTGCGCTAATAACCAAAGTACTTAAAAATCATTTTAAAAAAATATGCTTTTTCGTAAAATGACAGTTTAACAATCGCTTCTAAACGTTTTCCAGATGAGACACAATGGCGATTCAAACAATAAATCATCGCTCCCCAAATTCATCCGTCGTCATAGATTTTTAACAGAATGACGAAAAAATTGGATTTCTCGAAATCCGGTTTTCATTCCCACAGAATTTTTTCGCAAAATTGCCTGGTTGTGAGAGAGTTCAGTTGTTACTCAATTTTTTTTCACAATGTGCGATTTTTCATCGAAAATTGTGTGCATACAATTTTTTAAACATTTGTATATAGAGAATGAAGTATAAAATGTGTAAATTGTATCTGATTCTAGAAAAAACATTGTCGAAATATTTTTACCGCCGTAGAAACCTGCGCCTAACAGTGAGGATCGGTGGCGTTTGATGGACATTCAAATCCGTGAGACAAAAAGAATTTTTAAAAATCGCGTCTATAGTACACAATTGTTAAATAAAAACATCCAATTTAGCTGAATTTGGCGATATTCAAAGCATCGAAATGTGTTTTCAATAGCCGTTTTACCCACACCGGTGGTTAAAAACATTTTTCAAAGGAAGAAGCTTAATATTATAACATAAAGATGTTTGATCATTACGGTTTATTCAACAAACGCTCAAACTGACGGCGCACACATTTGAAACACACATTACACATTTGAAAACTCGAATTCTATCGATAACTTGTTGCATAATTTTTATGAAAAAAAAACATTGTTAAGTTTAAAGAACTGTTGAGATGATAGGAACTGAGATGTGAACAATTTTTAACTGAGAAAACTGAAATTGCTGCCCTCTGAATATTATATCATGTGAAGATGGTCGGCTAAAAATATAAGAAAATTTTAAATAATACAATTATATATCATACCGTCTTCGTCGGTGAAATTTTTAGCAGTATTGTACATATTTATGTGTTTTCGTCATATACAGTAACGCTGAAAAAGTTGTCAAACAAACCGAGCTAAAGATACAAAAATCGATTGAATCATTTTTTGTTTTAACTAACCATAGTTACAGCCAGTGTGTGCTCTCGGGAGACAATTTCCCGAGAATTCCCTAAACTACCCAGAAACAAAATTCTCGAGACTCCCGGAAGCACCGAGAAATTTTCGAAATTATTAGTCTCGGTACTATACGGGTAGTCGCGCGTACGGGAACCGAGAGTCTCGAGACTTTCTCGGGAATTTTTCCGAGACTCCCGAGAATTTCTCGGGAGTCTCGAGACTTTCTCGGGATTTTTTTTATTGATGAAATTCAGTAGTTAAATTGATAACTAGTAGGGTTTTAAAAACTAGCATAGTCAACATATTTTGAAAATGTTCGCCCGTATAAAAAGGGGATTAATACATAAATAAATCGTTTTTTGCATATGATTGTTTGCGATTAAAGTTATGTCTAAGGTTTTCGTACCATAAGGTTTTAGTGCCTTTCATCAAGACCAAAATTTCAAGTTGGCGTGTTTAGCCGACCGCGATTAACAACCGAAACGCGACGCGTATGCGTCGCGGTTAAAGCGAAACAGCTATTTTTTTAGTTTCGAAAATATTCACAAATATGTATGCAATATCTTCATTCGTTTAAATTCTTTCTTTATCTGATGCGTAATGTGAGTATTTAAATTGGGTGGCATATCAATTACTTTTAACTTACAAGGGAGGTCTTTTTGCTGTCCGTTTTAAAAGTTAGGGTCCTACCTGCGAAAACTTCTAGTTATCGAGTTATGGACCATCAAAGTTTTAGCCCACCAACGTGAATTTTGCGTACTAGAAGTTTTCGCAGGTAGGGAGGAACTTAGTTCATTCGATTGGAAATTTTCTAAAGAATCTGTATGCAAAAATTGACAACTTTTAAGACGGACAGCAAAAAGACCTCCCTTGTTAGCATTTGTTAGTATTGAAACAAACTTAAAGGAGAAAAAATAATTTTTTTGTTCACTAAAAAAATTCCCGTGAAGGTCTCGAGACTCCCGAGAAATTCTCGGGAGTCTCGGAAGATTTTTCTCGAGAAAGTCTCGAGATTCCCGAGAAAGTCTCGAGAAATTCTCGCAAGTCTCGGTACTTTTTGGAAAGTCTCGGGAGTCTCGAAGACATTGTCGAGAGAAATTCTCTCGGTACCGGTTAATTTTCTCGATTTTTCTCAAGAATTTTTTCTCGAGAGCACACACTGGTTACAGCCATATAACAAACCATATTCAACAAAAATAGTTTTGTAAGCTTGGTTGTTGGATAGTATCTGAAATAGTTTCAATATACACTTCGTTGTTTATGAGGTACAGTACCGCTCAAAAGGTTGGAAACTTTTGGTTTTTTGGGCATAACTTTTTTGAAACCAAACTTTTTTCCATGAACTTTTTTCCGATTGTTTTTTACGCAATTGCCGATATAATGAGCTATTAGACATGATTCGTGCTTACCAAATAAGGATTTTAGGCCCTTTTTTCAGAAATCCGTAAAAACACATTTTTTGGATATGCAATTTAAGTCGGTTTTTTTACCGGAAAGATAGTTTATTAACACAAAATTATTGGAAACTAAAATTATAAGGTTAATACTTGATTGTAAACACTCGGGAGTCAACGACCGCCTGATACCTGCGAGGCATAGAGTCGATCAAGTTGTCGAGAACCGAGAGTGGAAGCTTTTTCCATTCTTCTTCCGATTGTCGGAACTTTGCGTTCGAATTTGTGGCGGTTCCGCTTGCCACTTTTCTTTCCAACTCTTCCCACAAGTGCTCGATGGGATTCAAGTCTGCGGATTGACTTGATCAGTCCATAACCTTGATGTGCTGACTTGCGAACCAATCCTCAATTGATGATTATTTGAGAAAAAAAGCGAATTTTCTTAATTTCACAGATTTGGAAGTGAAAAAAAGATTTGTCTCAATGGAGCGCACTTGCAGCGTAGCGCTATTCCGGTGCATAAATTCAACAAATTAAATTTGTAAAATAAATTAGAAACATTCTCAAAATGGAGCGTTTTTTCAATAAGAACGATTAGTTTTTATATTTCTTCCGGTGGATCAGATTCACCGCAATTTATGGTCTATTTAGTTATAAATTAAATAAGTTATTTTAATTAATATCGGATCTTTTTTTTTGAACATATTCATAACATTTTTAAATGATAAAACCATCAATTAAACGAAAGAAATACTACACAATTGAATTATGATGTAAAAATTGATGATGCGTAGCAGATGAATTCAATGCGAGTAGATAAAGACGCAAGAGAGATTGAATTCGAAAAAGAGAATATAAGGACATTTGGAAAATTGCAAAACTAATAGGAACAAAATACACTTATCAATTTGGAAACAAGTGGATAATCAACAAATACATTTAACAAGATGCTCTTTACCGATTTCATTAGGCAGCTTGAAAAGAAAAATTTGCTGCTATACAACACAAATGACTAAAAAAAAAGACATTTTTGAGTTGAGGACGTCTTTCCATTTGTCTTTTGGACTAATTCGGAAGTTAAAAAAATCTCAAAAAGCGAATTGTCCGTGATATCGTTTCATCATTCAGCCAGCTTTTGATTTTCGAGATGGAGTTCTTATCTGAATTCAATAAATGAATTCAATGCGAGTAGATAAAGACGCGAGAGAGATAAATAGCAAAAAAAAGAAGCTGAAAACGGTAAATTAACGTAGAAACTAACGAAATTAAAAAAAAACAACAAAAAATTATAGAGAATCTCTTGCAACTTCTCCGCCGAAATGACACACTATTTACATTTAAAATTTGGAAAAAAATAAAAATAAACAACTATGAAATGTTTTCCAGGTGTTACCAAACATAACCGTATAACTCAAACCATATAATATAACAATAAATAATATTAACAAAAGAGAGAGTGAAAAAACAGAGAAAAGAAATGTGAATATTTCTACAGTTCAATCTTTAAAAAACTACGGACCTCTGAATACTTATCCGATTCAAATATAGTAAAGCTTTTTCGATAGAAAAAAACCTTGCGAAAAACGTGGTCGCTGCATTTTTTTGTTAAAATTTGAGAAAAATTCAAAAAACTTGAAAAAAGAGTCAAAACCTGGCGATTTTTAAAAAATTCGTCTGCGCGACAAAGACGCCAACATCGATCACTGACACAGTTTGAGTTTTCATTTCAGGTAAATCAGTTAATTCCTGATTATTGTAGTCGTATTGTTTCAGTTTATTAAGTTGTTTCCCCAAACCAACCATCCACTATTTTAGTATCATCAAGTTTGTTATTAGTTTATACCGCTTTGTTAACATTTCGTTCGTTTTCGTTTAATAATAAAGGTTTAATTACCCAAGTTTGAGGTTCACTCGACTTGTTAAACGGTTCCAATACCGTATCAGTATTTGGAAAAGTTACTTTTCTAATCAATCAATTGACAGTTTAAACTGGCGAATTACATTGGCGAAAAATGGTTGGATTCGGAGAATATGTTGATCGATTTGATCCAAAACCATCTAAAAATATGAATATAATATTAAATTGAAGAAATACGCAAAACCATTTGTCTCAGATGCTCGCATCTCTCTTTTTGGCATCCGTCCTTATTTGCTCGCAAAATGTCAAAAAGATCATTGATCCGTTTGTGATGATATTGAAAATTTGGACATAATGTTTCTAGATAGTAATCATTCAACAATTTCAGCATTTTCTGAAAAAATTCGAATTGCATGAGAAATTGTCGTTTAATTATTAATACC